TATAAAAGGTTGATAAATTCAATCTTATTTAAATTAAGAATTTGTTTCTTAAAAATCAGCTTAAATTGTGTGAAAAGATAAGCTACAACTAGAAAAAGATATTTGCCATACATACACTCTATGAAGGATTAGGATCAAGAACATGTGAAAAACTCATATACCTATAAGAAACATATAATTCAATAGAGGAGCAAAATACATGAATAGATATTTCATAGATGAAGAAATATATATGGCCAGTAAATTTATAAAGAGATATGCAACCTCACTAGTAACCAAGGAAATAAAATATCAAAACCACAGAGACATGCTATTTTATGTCCATTTGATTAAAAAAAGTTATAAAATGTTAGTGACAGGGATCAATAAGATCTCTTATACACTACTGATGAAATTGTAAATTGCTAACACCACTTTAGAAAACAATTTAACATTATCCTGTGAAACTGGACATTCAATATAACCCTTTTTTTTTTTTTCCTAAGAGACAAGGAGGGTTTCACTATATTACCCAGGCTGACCTCCTGGGCTCAAGTGACCTGTCCACCTTAGCCTCCTGAGTAGCTGGGATTACAGGCCAGCTTCAATATAACTTTTTAATCCAGTAATTCCACTCCTAGGTATCCTTCACCTCCCACCTCTCCATCCTATCCCAGGGGAATTCTTGCATGTGTGCCTCAGGACATATGAATAAGAATCTTCATCATAGCACTGTGTTAGGCCATTCTGCATTGCTATAAAGGAATACACAAGACTGGGGTAATTTATAAAGAAAAGAGGTTTTAACTGGCTCACAGTTCTGCAGGCTGTACAGGAAGCATGGTGCTGACATCTGCTCAGCTTCTGGTGAGGCCTTGGGCTGCTTACAATCATGGCAGAAGGCAAAGGGGGAGCCAGCATATCACATAGTGAGAGTGGGAGTGAGAGAGAGTGGAGTGGCATTTACTTTTAAACAACCAGAACTCTGGAGAACTTACTCACTATCACAAGGACAGCACCAAGCCATGAAGGATCCTCCCCCATGATCCAAATGCCTCTCGCCAGGCCCCACCACCGACACTGAAGATAACATTTCAACATGAGATTAGAGGGGACAACATTCAAACTATATCAAGCACTCTTCAAAATAGCACAAAAAGTAGAAAATATTCATAGCCCAAATCAAAAGAAGAATGGATATATACATAGTAGTATATTCAATATAATGGAATATTTTACAACAATGGAAATAACTATAGCTACTATGTATGATAACATGGAAGAATCATAGTAACACAAAAAATAAAAAATGGAAATCTCAGAAAATTATGTATAGTATGTTGTTCGAATACAAGTTTGTATAAAGTTCAAAAACAACCAAAATGAAAATAATATACTTTTAAAGTATGTGTGTGCACACATGTGCAAGCACACACACATATGAATTGTTTAAAATGCTTTTAAAAATTCTTTTACAAGGCAAGGATTGTTAAATGCTATATTCAGGATATCTATGAAGGTGGGCAGTAGACAGGATAGAGGAGCAGCATTTAGGTAGATGTAAATTACTAATTTTCTATTTATTTGAGTGCTGGATTGAGTGCTGGGTTCATGGATATTCATTATGTTATTAATAAATAATAATGTTGAAGGGCCCATATATGGACCATTGATGATTATATACCATGAATTAAGGATTACTATTAATCCAATTCTATGTACTCAAGTTCAAAAAGAAAATATATTAATAATAGCAATCAATTATATAGTGCTTACCATGTGCCAGGCACTGTTCTAAGTTTTTTATATGGTTTAACCCATTTAACCTCCCCAGTGAGGAGAAAACCAAGGCCCAGAGAGGTTACCAGTAACTCATCTGAGGCCCATAGCAGAGCTGGGATTTAATCCAGGCTGGCAGGCTCCAGAGTCGGTACTCTTAATCATTACACCTATAAGGTGTCTAAATAAATGAGATAATTATATTAGGACTTAGTCATGAAGAAGTTATAGCAGAGTGCTTTCTATAAAAATATGAAGGGAGAAACCACATGGACGGCTCCGTAAGGATACTAAAACCCCCTGAATTGTATTACTTTGGATGGGTAAACTTTATGGTATATAAATTACATCTTAATAAAGCTGTTAAAAAAAAACAACCTCACAGACCACAAATAGTGATTTTGTAACACAAACTGGTCCTGAATGACTGTTTGCTACTTTTGGGATTTAATATTTGCCTAAGGGTAAAAAGATACACTTTTTCTGCAGACCAAACAAAATAAACCTGACTGTCAAGACACTACTCACTTTATGGAGGAAGATGAAATAGAAAATTTTAATCTGCTATTATCGGTGGGAAAAATTTTTCAATTCCCAGCTTTAGCCTCTTTTTTGCATCTGCCAGGAAATTGGATGGCTCTCAACTCCGAAGATAGATTTCATATTGCAGTTGTAATTGTGTGTATATTGAGGATACACAAACAATAAAACCTAGGAAAGATGAGGGTGGAAAGAAGACATTTGACTGAAAACATACACATAAGTTTAAGATGCCAGTATGTTTTCAATCTTTATTAAGCTTAATTTATATACCATAAAGTTTATGCATTTAGAGTATACAATTCTAAAGTTAGCTGGGTGTGGTTGTGCATACCTGTATCCCAGCTACTTCAGAGGGTGAGGCAGGAGAATCCCCTCAACCCGGGAGATGGAGGCTTCAGTGAGCCAAGATTGCACCACTGCACTCCAGCCTAAGCAACTGAGCAACACTCCATCAAATAAATAAATAAATAAAATAAAGTATACAATTCAGTGGTTTTTTAGTATCCTTACAGAGCTGCTCTGATGCTCAGGGAATCTGCTGGTAACTTAACTCTGTTTTCTTTTTTTTTTTTTTTGAGACGGAGTCTTGATCTGTCCTCCAGGCTGGAGTGCTATGGTGCCATTTCAGCTCACTGCAACCTCTGTTTCCTGGGTTCAAGCGATTTTCCTGCCTTAGCCTCCCCAGTAGCTGGGATCACAGGCATCTGCTACCACACCTGGCTAATTTTTGTATTTTTAGTAGAGACACAGGGTGGGGTTTCACCATATTGGCCATGTTGATCTCCAACTCCTGACCTCAAGTGATACACCTGTCTTGGTCTCCCAAAGTGCTGGGATTACAGGCGTAAGCCACTTTGTCCAGCCCTGTTTTCATGACCACTGAAGATCCTCCTCACCTAGGTCAGCTCTCCTCACAAATCTGGCCATTGATCACAAAGAGATCAAATGAAAGCTCGGGTTGCACCTTAACAATTCCATCATCAACAGCAAAAGAAGGGTTCAAAGTCCTGGCCAACTGAACCGTGGGTCACTTTTATCCACTTTTACACATGTGCCCTCTCTAAAGCACATATGTAAACCGAGGATAAAACCTAACTTGGTTGGGTACAGTGGCTCACATCTGTAATCCCAGTGCTTTGGGGAGGCTGAGATAGGAGGATCACTTGAGGCCAGGAGTTTGAAATAAGCCTGGGCAACACGGCTAGACCCCATTGCTACAAAAAATTTAAAAATTAGCTGAGTGTGGTGGTGTGTGCCTGTGGTCCTACCTACATGGGAGGCTGAACCGGGAAGATTGCTTGAGCCCAGGAATTTGAGGTTGCAGTGAGTTATGACTGCACCATTACACTCCAGCCTGGGTGACAGAGCAAGTCCCTGTCTCTAAAACTAAAACTAAAACAAAACAAAACAACAAAAAAGAAAAAAAAGAAAAGAAAAAACTCACTAAGCAGCTTTATGCTTTAAAGCAGGAGTTCCCAGCCCCCAGGCTGTGGACCAGTAATGGTCAGTTGCCTGTTAGGACATGGCTGCACAGCAGGTGAGGGGCAGGGGAGGGAGCATTACTGCCTGAGCTCCACCTCCTGACAGATCAGCAGAGGCACTAGATTCTCAGAGGAGGGCTAACCCTATTGTGAACGGAGTATGTGAGGGATGTCGGTTGTGTGTTCCTTATGAGAATCTAATGCCTGATGATCTGAGGTGGCACAGTTCCATGAAACTGGTCCCTGGTGCCAAAAAGATTGGGGACCACTGCTTTAAAGAACACAAAGGATTTTCAGGTAGTATCTGCTGGGAGCCAGGGAAGGGGGTAATTTTGGGGGCAAGAATACAAAGGAAATGAAAACAAATCATTTAACTACAGCATGGATCCAACTTATGTCATTATTCAGTTGTTGTGGAAACACACACACATGTACACACATACACATCACAGACAATATTTTGGCTGTTACTGTAATAGAATCTAGGCCTTTTCCATCTAAGCATAAAACTTACTAGTCCTCTTGGCTCCAGGCAGATTTTCAGTCCCCCTAGGCAAGCCTTTGTACTATAGCCAGCTGCGGGCAGTAGCTTCCATCAAGCTCTCCGGTATTTGAAGTGGCAAGCCACTAAGCTTGGCATGCCTCTGGTGCATGTTCACACAGACTGGGTGTCTGCTTGTCTCCCTGAATTATTTCTCTCAAATCTTGTGCTCCCTCAACCCCTATCATGAGGTCTGGAAAACTACTGATTTGGTCATTATCTTTTTCTTTGATCAGTGAGTCACCTTAGCAGGTCAATTTAGGTTAAAAAGTCACTCTAGTGCCTGGTTTATTATCTCGATTGGCTGTTATATTGAGTAATTAGATAATGGCTTAACTTCAATTTCCATTTGTGGTCTATTAATATAACCTTGAAACATTTAAACCCAGGTAAAACTTTTTCTTTTATTTCATGCTTTTACAAATAATATGTTCATGTATTTTTTATCCTCCAGCATCCAGATTTTTATCTTTAAATACCATTTCCCACTAAAAGGAACCAGAGCTCTCTGGAGAAATGGCTGACTCCACAACTGGGGCAGGAAATGTCTATCAGGTAAGTCTGCAGAAAACAATGGAGAAAGGAAGAGTGGGAAGAGTGATGCAGATGAAACAAGATTGACATGATTTGATAATTGTTGAAGTAGGGTGTTGGGTACACGTGGGAGTTCTTTATTCTTTTATGTATTTTAAACTTTTTCCATAAAAATAGTTTAAGGAAAGTTAAAAATGTTATTTTCTAAACTGAAGGAGTAATAGCGCGCCCTTTGTAGAAACAAAAGATTTCTACAAAGAAAAGTGAAGTCTCCCTCCGACTCCAGATCCTTACACCCCTCCTCAGGGCAATCCTAGGAACAATTTCCCACGTAGTTGTCAAGAAAGTTTCCACGAAAATATTTTTAAATGTACATACTCATAAAATACAAATATTTTTAAAACCACAAATGGTAGCGTATTATACACGTTATTTTATGCCTTCTGAAGTTTTATTTCCTATTTTAATACAATGAATATGTCTACACGTTACAATATTGTGGATTTTTATGCTTTACAATTGAGCTTCTTCCTTCAAGTTTCTTTGATTTATTCAAGAGATAAAAGGCCTACAGCTTCATATTCCTCAGGATTATTTACAAAAAGAAGGATGGCTCAGCCAAGGCTAAATTTAGGTTACAGTTCCTAATATTAACAGTTTTCAAGTTTAGGTTTCAGCTTTTGGGACATTATTGTTACCCTGAAAAATGTCATGTTTAAAAACACCTCACACCTCTACTATAGATTGGATCTTGGGAAATAGGGTTGAGGACGGGATCAATATAACCTCCGCCCCGGCGCATACCCGGGAGAGCTGCAGACGGTCTAAAGGATGTGGTGACCTCAGCGCTGCGTCCCTGCAGCAACCGGCGAGTGCTGGGGCACAGGCCATATCCCCCTAAGCTCGGCATCGCCTGCACCTCTCACAGGTGCTCTGTCCGCCACAGTAACGCTCTATGGAAATTAAAGTTGTAAGGCGAACGACAGAAGGAGCCAAACGAGGTGGATCCGGAGCGGCCACAAGGTGCCTGTGCTGCTGGCTTTTAACACACAAAAAGAGGAGTGCCAAGGAATACAAGAAGCCACAGGGGGAATAAAAAGCGACATATCTGCATGGAGCCTAAATTTCGCTCGATGATTTTCAGGGAAGAAGCATTACATATTAAAAACAAACATTGCTATTTTACGGGAATACCGGATTTAAAAATCCACACAGATTCGCAACATAAAACAGGCAGCCCAAAGACACGTCCGCGGTGTCCTGACAGTTCCGGCTCCGCCCGCGGGCCACGAGGCGGGGATCGACGGTCACTCCCCTCGGTTGCCCAGAGTACTTGGGCGGCAACGGGGAGCGCCGGGGGGAGACAAGCTCCTGGGCTAGGGCTGCGTCTCAGCCACCTTGCTTAGCTCTCGAGGTCCCGCGTGTTACGTGTTAGCACCGCCCCGGGGCGTCAGCGTGACCCGGGGCTGCAGGAACCGTGAACTCCCTGCCCCGCGGGCCCAGGTGACCGCGGGCATCGCTCTCCCGCGCGCGGGGGGCGGGGCTTCCCCCGGCTGTACACTCAGCTACCACAGCGACATAAGATGGTGTCCGCTAGGCGTCCCAGGACGGCTTCCTAAGGGACTGGAGGGCCCCGACAGCCGGAGAGTCTGCCCCGCCCCTTGGCCGGCACAGGTAGGACGGCGGGGAGCTCAGAAGTTTCGAACTCCAAGGGCCGAAGCACAGCCAAATACCCCACGGAACTTAACAAATGTTTGTGGGGAGAACGCCAAAAACGCGGGGAGGCGGGGCTGGCGCACAGTCACCCTCTCGCGACATCTAAGTGACGTCGCATAGCAAGCACGTGTTCTAGTCTTTCACCTTCAGTCAGCCTCCTCCGTTATATGGGCCTACCCCTTTAAGCGAGTGATGGACAGTTACTTCAGCCTATCAACTTCCTTGCAGACATCCAATCAGATTTAAACTTCTTTTAGCCGCCGGAGGAGTTGGAAAAAGGGGGTCGAAAGAGGGAGCTCACCGTCTCTCGCGATATCGCTGTGAGCCTGCCTCTCGAAAAAACGCCGAAACTTGGCCCCACCTCCCAAATAGTGGTTTAAAGGACGGGTTTATAAGCCAATGAAAGGGATGAGGAGGCGGGGTTGCTGCTTTCACTGAGCAAGAAGTACCGTTACAGGGCAGACTTTTTGTCCAATCAACACAGCTACACTTTGGGTCACGTGACCGCAGAGTGCGAGGGGCGGAGCTACAGCCTGGCGCGAGGAACCGTTAAGATAGACAACAAATGTAACCAATGAGGTACTCTGACTAGGGGGTTGGGAACCCAATAACAGTGGTTGGGCGGGCGCCTTCCTGGAGCGCGGGGAGATGTAAAGATAGACAAATAATTTTCCCAATGAGACTGTAGAAGAGAGAGCTAATTGGCCAATGAGGACTGCGGGGCGGGACCCTGTGCCGCGGCGGAGTCCAAGATGGCGGCGTGCGGTTCCGCTGTGTGAAACGAGCGCGGGGCGGCGGGTTGATCAGCTCCGCGGAGACGACCTCCGAGGACCCGCAACAATGAAGGGAAAAGAGCGCTCGCCAGTCAAGGCCAAACGCTCCCGTGGTGGTGAGGACTCGACTTCCCGCGGAGAGCGGAGCAAGAAGTTAGGGGGCTCTGGTGGCAGCAATGGGAGCAGCAGCGGAAAGACCGATAGCGGCGGCGGGTCGCGGCGGAGTCTCCACCTGGACAAGTCCAGCAGTCGAGGTGGCAGCCGCGAGTATGACACCGGTGGGGGCAGCTCCAGTAGCCGCTTGCATAGTTATAGCTCCCCGAGCACCAAAAATTCTTCGGGCGGGGGCGAGTCGCGCAGCAGCTCCCGGGGTGGAGGCGGGGAGTCACGTTCCTCTGGGGCCGCCTCCTCAGCTCCCGGCGGCGGGGACGGCGCGGAATACAAGACTCTGAAGATAAGCGAGTTGGGGTCCCAGCTTAGTGACGAAGCGGTGGAGGACGGCCTGTTTCATGAGTTCAAACGTTTCGGTGATGTAAGTGTCAAAATCAGTCATCTGTCGGGTTCTGGCAGCGGGGATGAGCGGGTAGCCTTTGTGAACTTCCGGCGGCCAGAGGACGCGCGGGCGGCCAAGCATGCCAGAGGCCGCCTGGTGCTCTATGACCGGCCTCTGAAGATAGAAGCTGTGTATGTGAGCCGGCGCCGCAGCCGCTCCCCTTTAGACAAAGATACTTATCCTCCTTCAGCCAGCGTGGTCGGGGCCTCTGTAGGTGGTCACCGGCACCCCCCTGGAGGTGGTGGAGGCCAGAGATCACTTTCCCCTGGTGGCGCTGCTTTAGGATACAGAGACTACCGGCTGCAGCAGTTGGCTCTTGGCCGCCTGCCCCCTCCACCTCCGCCACCATTGCCTCGAGAGCTGGAGAGAGAAAGAGACTACCCGTTCTATGAGAGAGTGCGCCCTGCATACAGTCTTGAGCCAAGGGTGGGAGCTGGAGCAGGTGCTGCTCCTTTCAGAGAAGTGGATGAGATTTCACCCGAGGATGATCAGCGAGCTAACCGGACGCTTTTCTTGGGCAACCTAGACATCACTGTAACGGAGAATGATCTAAGAAGGGCGTTTGATCGCTTTGGAGTCATCACAGAAGTAGATATCAAGAGGCCTTCTCGCGGCCAGACTAGTACTTACGGCTTTCTCAAATTTGAGAACTTAGATATGTCTCACCGGGCCAAATTAGCAATGTCCGGCAAAATTATAATTCGGAATCCTATCAAAATTGGTTATGGTAAAGCTACACCTACCACCCGCCTCTGGGTGGGAGGCCTGGGACCTTGGGTTCCTCTTGCTGCCCTGGCACGAGAATTTGATCGATTTGGCACCATACGCACCATAGACTACCGAAAAGGTGATAGTTGGGCATATATCCAGTATGAAAGCCTGGATGCAGCGCATGCTGCCTGGACCCATATGCGGGGCTTCCCACTTGGTGGCCCAGATCGACGCCTTAGAGTAGACTTTGCCGACACCGAACATCGTTACCAGCAGCAGTATCTGCAGCCTCTGCCCTTGACTCATTATGAGCTGGTGACAGATGCTTTTGGACATCGGGCACCTGACCCTTTGAGGGGTGCTCGGGATAGGACACCACCCTTACTATACAGAGATCGTGATAGGGACCTTTATCCTGACTCTGATTGGGTGCCACCCCCACCCCCAGTCCGAGAACGCAGCACTCGGACTGCAGCTACTTCTGTGCCTGCTTACGAGCCACTGGATAGCCTTGATCGCAGGCGGGATGGTTGGTCCTTGGACCGGGACAGAGGTGATCGAGATCTGCCCAGCAGCAGAGACCAGCCTAGGAAGCGAAGGCTGCCTGAGGAGAGTGGAGGACGTCATCTGGATAGGTCTCCTGAGAGTGACCGCCCACGAAAACGTCACTGCGCTCCTTCTCCTGACCGCAGTCCAGAATTGAGCAGTAGCCGGGATCGTTACAACAGCGACAATGATCGATCTTCCCGTCTTCTCTTGGAAAGGCCCTCTCCAATCAGAGACAGACGAAGTAGTTTGGAGAAGAGCCAGGGTGACAAGCGAGACCGTAAAAACTCTGCATCAGCTGAACGAGATAGGAAGCACCGGACAACTGCTCCCACTGAGGGAAAAAGCCCTCTGAAAAAAGAAGACCGCTCTGATGGGAGTGCACCTAGCACCAGCACTGCTTCCTGCAAGCTGAAGTCCCCGTCCCAGAAACAGGATGGGGGGACAGCCCCTGCGGCAGCAGCCTCTCCCAAACTCTGTTTGGCCTGGCAGGGCATGCTTCTACTGAAGAACAGCAACTTTCCTTCCAACATGCATCTGTTGCAGGGTGACCTCCAAGTGGCTAGTAGTCTTCTTGTGGAGGGTTCAACTGGAGGCAAAGTGGCCCAGCTCAAGATCACTCAGCGTCTCCGTTTGGACCAGCCCAAGTTGGATGAAGTAACTCGACGCATCAAAGTAGCAGGGCCCAATGGTTATGCCATTCTTCTGGCTGTGCCTGGAAGTTCTGACAGCCGGTCTTCCTCTTCCTCAGCTGCATCAGACACTGCCACTTCTACTCAGAGGCCACTTAGGAACCTTGTGTCCTATTTAAAGCAAAAGCAGGCAGCCGGGGTGATCAGCCTCCCTGTGGGGGGCAACAAAGACAAGGAAAACACCGGGGTCCTTCATGCCTTCCCACCTTGTGAGTTCTCCCAGCAGTTCCTGGATTCCCCTGCCAAGGCACTGGCCAAATCTGAAGAAGATTACCTGGTCATGATCATTGTCCGTGGTGCGTCCTAAAGTCCATGTGTAACTTGTATTTACTACTTTGACATGGTTCCTGTTTTGTGATGTGTAATGGGATACAGCATCAGATGCAATTTTCTTTTTAGTTGTTAGTTGTAGCATTTTCTTTTTTATATTTTTATAAACGTCTTTAAAATAGAAATCAGGACAGTTTAGCTATTTTTTTGTTTGTTTAGCTATTATTTTAAGTGAAAGGGATGCCCTAAAGGTAGCAGGCAGACAGATTTGCTTTAATTAGGAGTTCCCACCCTTATGAGTAATTTTTTTCCTCTATTCAGTTTTTTTTTTTTTTAATCTTGAGCCTAAAAAATCCTCTGAGTTACAAAACCAAAACTTTGAAAAGTCAGAATTTGGAGAAAGGAGTCCACTGACCATACAAAGAGAGTAATAGCCACCTAAAAATGACTTGATTGGTGTGTAGGTAGATAATTCTTTTACCAGAAATGTGTGTGACTGAAATTTGATCAGGGATCTCAAAGGTATGCTGGTAAATTGTTTAGCAATGTAATTCTTTTAATCAGGTATTTGAATATTTCTTAAGATACAGTTTATTCCCAGAGAGTTTGCTTTAACATGCATTTTTAAAATCATTTGTTCTAGAGTTCTGTATCCCGTGTATGCACTTTTGGTTTGTAGCAGTAACTGTTCAGTAAAAATTAAGGACTATGTTACAAACCATATATGTCTTATGCTTACACTAGTATGCAAGAAGTGAGTAGGTGCTTTTAAAATCAGAATTCTTTGGTCAGTTATTGGTGTGTGGTGATGTTTTTACTGACTTTTTCAGAGAGGTGTAGCAGGTACAGTTCTAATTGTGCATATTTCAAAACTGTTCTTCATCAAAGATGAGTTTTTGATTTTGTATCCATTCAAATTTCTGGTTTCAATAATAGAAAGAAGAGTTGTCTGCAGGCTCGTAGTCATCTTTTATTTCAGTGGGCATTTAAAGCAGCCATATTTGGATTGCAGACTTTCTTAAAAAGTCATCATAAAATGCCTTTGACATGCTCTCTTAAAATTTTGCTTGTCTTTTTATTTTCATATTTAAACAGTAGTGACATTACATTATTGGAAATGTTTTGAACATTTTGGAAATTTTATGTTTAGTATTCTCACTGCTGTCCAGCTACGGAATTGAAATGTCAGTGTAGGAAAATCTTTTTTTATTGTTTTATTTTCCCAGACACCTGGAATTAATACAGGATCATTTAACTTACCCTCACAGTTTTTTTTTTTCAAAGGTGATAATGACATCAACCTCTGGTTCTCAACAAGGACTTTTGCTGCTTAACAGTAATGGATTTTTTTTTTTTTAAATCTATCCCCTCTGTCCCACCCCTAATTTGTCAGGTCATTAGTAAGTATATTTTTCTCCCTTGATTTAAATGCTGAAGACTTCAGCTAAGGCCCTTGATATTTAATTATGATTAGAGACTTTTGGACCTTCTGGATCATGGTCATGTTTCTGTTCTGTGAAAGTGACTTAACTTGAAGCCTGGCAGAACCCAACTGTTTTCTTTCTGTTATCAAAGCTGGAAGTTTTGAAATAGCACCAATAATAACCCAGGGAAATGTCATGTAATTTTTATTTTCCATTATGACAGGTGTCTAATGCATGTCAGCACGAAAGTGTCATCACTGCTGTGTCATCCCTCTTGGTTTTCACTATGCATTTATAATTTTTTTAAGTTTGCAGGTTTTGTGGGGGTTTTTTTGTTTGTTTCTTTTTAAACTGGAAAAACTAGCCATTTTGAGAGAAGGAGGGTTCTAGGCTATGAGCATGAAGGTCCTTGTACCTCTTAGGAAAATACTATGCTTCTTGCTTTCAAAAAGCAGTGCTTGGTTTGGAGTAGACACCTGTCAGAAACTAATGCAAGTGTGAAGTCTGTGCATACATGGGCTCATAGTATAATTTGTGGCCAGCTACATTTTTCCAGTTTAAATAATCTCACTAACCATTAACTTTTGAGTATCTTTTGTTGAGATAAGTTGGACAAATGATTTTGCTCTTTTGGAGAGTGAAGTCCATGACATCTAATTTTACTATCATCCAAAATGTGTGTTTTATTTCTTTTTTTTTTTTTTTTTTTTGTTAGTGTGACAGCTTACAGAAGAGTACTATGGTTTTGCTCCATGTTTGTTTGAATCTTTACCTGACATTGCTACTTTTGTTAGGTCTGGGCAATTTGTGCTTCAGTGTTTTTGAAACAATGGCTTGATACCATTTCTAAATGTATGTATTATAAAAAACTAATTATGTTTAGTTGGTCATTACCTACGAGTGCCATAGTCCACATGAACCGCTTATTTGTACTGCCTATTCTTTTGTGCGGGTTCATAATATCCATAAAGTATCTAGTTAAACCTTAAGAATTCGAATGAAAACAAAAGTCTACAACTGGTTCTACTTCTCATTAGCCAGGATTTAATAATCCCAACGTTGGATGTTCTTTGTAACAACCAATTTTTTTCTTTTTTCTTTAATTATTTTAATGTAGTTGATTTTTCTGAAACTCAGTTAAAATGAATGGAAAGAAAACTTCAGGATATCATTTAATGACTATTAAGTATTATTGGTAAAAATGTGAAGATAAGACTTTTAGATCACAGCTTCCAATTTTATGGGAAATTAAGCAATCAATACCTAGCCAATAGTTCTGCTTAACTTACTGGTTAAGTATTTTGTTGGGATTCCTGTAAATAATTTTTCACACAAAGTTTTAAATTCCTGGTGTACTTTGACTCTCAACTGAGAGTGGATAGAGTTTTTCTTTTGAGGATTACATCTTAAAATGTCCATCCCCTGACTGGTTATAAGCATTTGTCACCTTTTGAAGGTAAAATATACTCTGGCCCTTCTTGACTCACTTACAGGTCATTTTAGGTCCAGTAGTAAGAGTCAGGTGTTTGGTTTTTGCTTTCAGAGTCAAACATTGTTTAGGTTTATTTAAAAACTATTAGCAGGTTTTCACTGACAATGCTTTTTTAAAAATAAAAAATGTAAGTCCAGTTTTTAAAGACAGATTTTTCATTATGCATATACAGCTTGAACTATAGTTTGGGTCCATATAGGAACCATTCACCAAAAACTCTGGTAACAGAATTAGGAAATCCTCTTGAGAAGAGGGCCTTAATGACCTTTTATGTGAAAAAAATTTTGGAGAGAATTTCTGGACATTTTTTTTCTGTCTCTGCCACAGTGTTTGGTTTTGAGATAGGAGTTAGGTATGAGAACAAGAAGAGAGAAAACATGGCGCTGACCTTGTTACAGTGGTTATAGTGGTGTCCCTAAAGGGAGAAAATGATTTCAGGTAACCACAGTGAAATGTTAAGCTTAATGAAGAGTTTTATATGTATGGTTTAAAACAGAGTTGAAAAGTGAGAGTCCTGAAGTGTTCTTTGGCTGTTTAACAATTATTTGTATGAGTGTTTTCTTAAAATAATGGCTGTTGTCTTTGGTAACATAGATGAGGGTGGATTTTTAAATGGCTTTGTATCGACCCCTTTCTACAATAATGGAGTAGTCTGTGTTGCTCCATATAAATTACAGAACGAAAATAGATGGGGCAAAAGTTTGACTAAACTTCACCTTTTTATAGTTTCACTTTTTAAGTTATATTTAGAATATATTGATAGATTATAAATTGATTGTGAAACTTTTTTCTGAATTTTTTCGACATGTTTTACTCAGTTACATGAGTATAAAGGATATTTTCAGTCCTGTTATCTTCAATTGCAGTCTTTAAAAAAACCCACCCTATTGTTCTACTTGTTATATGTCTATTCATACAGTAAATTCATTTCAAGGTTTATGCCAGTGGGTATTATTGGTGCTTTTTGAAGTTGAGGTGAACCATCCAGGAAGGTCTTGTTAATGTTATGTTCATCTATAATGGCATAGGGGAAATATATATATTTTTAATATTGTAAACATTTGTACTGAATAACCTTTTTTTCCCCCCCTCCGCAAGCAAAACTGGTTGAACAGCGGATGAAGATATGGAATTCAAAGCTCTAATGGACCTTTTTGAAGAGAAGTTGTGGCTTATGTGGAGTTTACATGGGCCTCTGATGGAAGAAAGCTAATCTGTTTAGTATTTGTGCATTTTACTAAAATGGCAGCTTAAAGTTGTGTATCTGCTATTGTGATGCCAATGCCGGTGTTTTAAGTGGAAAAAAAAATGACCTCTTTGCTTTGTGCTGTGTACACAAGATTTCTGGAAAAGTAAAGAAAAACCCTTTTTATGGCTCACACAGCTTAAGAGTAGCTGTCTCTCAAACGTGCGCTCACAGTTGAGCTGCTTTTGTTTTATTCTAAATAAATTGTTTCTTTTGAGGAAAATGTTTTTCTGCCTGGAAGTGAATTGACGGCAAACCTTTGACCCCTTTGTTTGCAGCCGAGGGGGTACTTGCTGCTGCTCAGATCTTGTATGTCTTGAGCAAGAAGCAGGGAGACCATCAATTTCATTTTGACTATCACGGTGTGTCAATTCTGAAGGATCACTAGTGTTACTGTTGACCCCCTTTGTTTGCAGTGAAGGGGATCATTTGCTTCTCGGTTCTCAACGTGATGAGGAAATGGTGCTGTTTGCTGGCACGCAAGAAGCCGGGGCAGGCACCCTAAGCCTCACCACAGTGCCTGAGTCGGGGGCTTTTGCTGGTTTGAAGAGCTGGAGTTGCTGAAATTTAAGTTTTGATTTATTTTGTTCACCCATCACGTTTGGCCTTAGTTTCATTTTTAATTTGAAGAAAAGTTTGAAATTGCTTTATCTTGCACTTAACATTTGCACCAAATTGCCAAAAGAAGGAGAAATACTCCGTTTGCTTTTTAAATGTTAATGATGATGTTAATAAAGCCTTTCCTGACACATTTGAGGAGCTCCTCCGTCTCCAGGGGCTTCTTACCAGAGTTATGCAGTGATGGGTTTAGTTCTGAATGGATGAAGAGTTCCTGAGAGCTAGCGTTTGTAATTAGAACCGTTACTTGGTATCTGTGCCTTATTTGACCTTTGGTTCTACATGCCTTGGATGTGCATGCACCGTGACGGTTTCATAGGTACGAACGCACACTCAGGCCCAGTCACTTCGGTTGGTAGTACAGATTGTGAGGAAAAAGATGGAGGCATCCTTAAGGAGGAAAAATGTTTGCCTTTAGTTCCTGCATTATCCTGTACAGGGGCTCCTGAGTTTTGGAAGCCTGTTCCCAGTACAGGAGAACAACTCCCCTGTTCGCAGCAGCAGACTTCGGTGCACAGTGACAACGCTGGAGTTCAAGAGGAAGCCAGCAATGCTGCACCATTGGCTTCAGACACCATTGTTGTTGTTTGCCAGTTTTAAACTTAACTAGTTGCAGACGAAGACCACCTTGAAATGCAGGCTTGTTGGGCTTGTTTTGAATTTTAACCTCGGATGGAAGAGCCCTAGTGCTGTCTGTCTCCATGCGGGATGATGATTGCTAGGCAACAGGTGATTATCAACAAAGGATGCCACGGTTATACTCTGCAAGGTGGTGTTCCAGTGGCAAACAGCTGTATAAACTCTTGTAAACAGGTAAGAGGGTTTTTAGAGGTCAAAATGCATTATAATTAATAGGGTGAGGGCTTTTAATGTTTTGGGTCTGTTTCTCTAGATGGAAGCCTTAAGGCACTCTGCTGCCATTACTAACTTCCTTCACCGAAGTGTCATATTTCAGGTCAGAACTTCTGTTTTACTTGATATTTTTCTTTTTAAGTTTATTTTTAACATTAAAAAAATACTTTTAATGTGGCAGCCAAAGTTTTAAGATCTTGGTTATGGATTTGGAACCTATAGTCTTGATGTCCTTTAAAATTTGACATTTGCTGTTAACCTTGGCCTTTACCCTTAGTCATGATTTAATGATGCAGGAGGACTTACTGCTGTAAAAACGTTGCTTATTTACAAATACTGATTTCTAAACTTCAGAGTTAAGACATTACAGTGTGTAACAGCAACAAAAGAAAGTATGCCATCAGATTGTGAATGATACATATTTTAACCAGGATTTTTTTTTCTTTCTTTTTTTTGTCCCACAGAGAGATTATAAAATTAGGCAACCTTAACTTTAGGGAAATTAACAAGCAGTGTTGAGAAGTCTGACTTTTGTCTGCCCTTAACATTTTCAGTATCTATTTAGTTTTACCAGCCTTCTGAGCCCTTCTCCCCTACATTAATCAAGTTTGAAGCTTTGGCACTTATCACAAGCACAGCTTTGTTAGTATGTACTACAACTTAGGTTTCCTTGCTTTATTTCAAATGAGATCAAAATTTGTGAATAGAATTGTTATTTTTTCATCTCTTCTGGAAGACATCCAGTATCTAGTAACTACAATAGCTGATCTATACTAGTTAGTTTTTCCACAAGATTGAGCTCCTTGGATTGTTTTGCTAGGCAGCTTATGTACCCATACTTTGATAGAGTAAAAGGGAAAATATGAAGTACAGTGGAATTTTTCAGGTTCTCAGTGTGTCATAAGAATTTTTAAAACAGCTGGTTATGAGATGATGGCTGCCATCTGAGGCTTTTCTAAATGGTCTCTCCCCTGCATTTCTTTAAACATTTTATACTTGTTGGAAATGTCAGTTTTCAGTGTGTTTTCTTTTTCTTGCTAATTCACACCATGAGGCCGCTGAGTGGTTTTTTCCAGTTAGTAAGCAAATATTTTAAATCACTATGGAGATTTAGAAAGATTATGTTACACTTTCTACATATTTCTATATGTCTGGTATCTTTTTAAAGTTTCAAGCTTCATCTCTCTAGTAAGAACAAGAAAACAAGTTGCAGACAGGGCATTTGTTTATTTGTATATAAAGCCATGTCATAAATAATGGGAAGGTACACAGCATGACAATTTTTTGAAATTACTCATGAAATCATTTTATTTATTCCCAGCTGCACTGTGGAAAAAAGTTAACTGGATTGAGTGTTAGATTCAGTGTTCTGGTTTTATAAATTGGAAACTTCCCTTTTGAAGTATTTGTGTGGTTTCCCAGTGTCCTTCATATGATCTAAATTTAGGGTTCTGTAAAGGAACTGCTTCCAGGAACACCTCCAAATTGACTTGGGCTCAACTTGAAAAGCTTTGTTGTTAGTACTAAAATTGAAAATGAGGATTACCCTGATTTCAGTAAAACAACCTAAATTTTATGAATTGTCACTTCCATAGCTTAAGTTGTATAATTGTTTGTAAGCTGTTTATCTGAGGCAATATATTTAGTATTTACAGCTTATAGAACATCTATTTTTCTTTTGACAATAGTATATCTGATTATGGCTTCTGACCATCACCTCTGTCTCCCATTTCAGTTTAGTCTTTTTGAGCTTCCCTGTTTAAAGATCCTTTAACTTAATAACTTGAATTATAATCTAGTTTTAAAATCTTGGCAGAGGAATTTATTGAATAGCAAAATTTCTTCAAACCTCAGACAAGTTTGGTCTTAGCAACCAATAAGTTTTTTTCATCTATCTGTTCTCTTCAGCAACTTGTACTCTTAACTGGAGAAACTATTAAACAGGTGAATAGTTAATTTCTAATGAATTTTTTTTTCCCGTTGCCCAGGCTGGAGTGCAGTGGCATGATCTCAGCTCACTGCAACCTCTGCCTCCCGGGTTCAAGCGATTCTCCTGCCTCAGCCTCCTGAGTAGCTGGGATTATAGGCGTGTGCTGTCACGCCTGGCTGATTTTTTGTAATTTAATAGAGACAGGGTTTCACAATGTTGGCTAGGCTGGTCTCGAACTCCTGGTCTGAAACAATCCTCCCGCCTCAGCCTCCCAAAGTGTTAGGATTACAGGTATGAGCCACTGCGCCCTGCCTCTAATGAATTTTTATAGGTGATATAGGTGTATGAATGAGCATATGAACAGGTTACTTAAAACAGGGATGGTCAAGAAAGGCTTTACAAAAGAATTTGTTAGAGTAGGACATGGAATGGTGGAGAGAGGTTGGGATGGACGTGTCAGGCAGACAAGCATGAGTAAGAATATAGCAGCTTGTGGATTGATGGAAAAGATAAGATGCAAACTGAAGCCTGGAATACTAGTAAAATGGTTGGGTCAACAAAAATAGGGAATCCTGAAGGGTAGGCCCGTTTGAGGGGTGGAGAGTGGAAACAGATCATTTGGGGCACATTGATAGCAGTCATTTATTGACTGTCTACTTCAAGCTAAGGATTCTGCTAAGTACTGTACACACATTGTCTCATTTAAGTCTCACCACAGACCATAATTTGACAGTTTAGTGATAGAGCCACAGTTCTAACCAGGCCTTTGTCCCAGCTAAGGCTCTCTTGGTTACTTACTTGTAGGAATGAGATTAAGGCTGCAAACCTGAAAAAATGGGCAATGGATTTCAAACTATAGTTTATCAACATTGGCAGTACTTGGGAAACGTGCAGGCCCTTGGTACCTCCCCTAGACATTCTGGAATGTGTTAGGACCAGCATGACCTAGGAGTCTTTGTTCTTTTACAAACCCCCCAGGTAATTCTGATATATTCTGTGGTCAGTGGGCCATGTGTTGAGCAACACTGGCCCATAGAGAGTAGAGTACTAAGGTAAACTTAGGATAATGTCATATTTGAGGCATGGGAAGAGAAGATGGTGCTGGAAAAAAGCCTAGATAGGAAAATAAGAATTGTGTTGTCTCAGAACCTGAGAGGGGCTTCTAGAAGATAACTTTACAACCGTTGCAGCAGACAAGGAGAACAAAACTGCAATTGCCATGGAATTTATTACTTAAAATTGCCACTTAAGTAACATAACAGTTTTCTAGTCATGTAATTATTTCTCCAAGAAACTCAATCTAGATTACTATTTAATTTTGCCTCATAACAGTCCTGAAGATGGGCCCCTGTTTTGTTTATGAAATGCTAAAGGGACACCAGAAAAGTTTTGTGACTAACTGAGGGATACACAGCCAGGGACTGATTGAGGTATCTTTGAGTTTTCAGATGGCAATCTAAAAATACTGTGACTATAGTCTTAAAATTGGAAGTGATGCTGGCATTGAGTGTGTACACATGAAACTTATTTCCATTAATGGACCATCACCTATATCTACTACTCCTAAGTTACCAATAGGATTGAGACAAAGGCATTATAGGTAAAGTTTAGTGTATCTTTGTCCTGTAAATGATTATTTATATCTATACTGCATTTGTGTTTGATAAGTATAGCCAATGAACTATTCAAATATTTGAGTACATATTATGTATTGGACATTATTCTAGATCTTGGGAGTAAATTTGTGAAGAAAAAAGAGACGTGTTTCTCTTTTCTCATGGAGCTTACAGTCTGGTGGAAGAAAGGAGATGATAAGCTATAAATTAGGGCCTTTAGGCTCCAGATAAAGGTTTGGATTGTATTCTAAATGCTGATTGCTATGGGAAGCCGTTGTAGGTTTTAAGCAGAAAGTGATAGGATTTGATCAAGATTTGACTACCTGTCTGAGGAAAATAATAAATTTCCTTCAAATGCCAAAGAAAATAAGTTATTAACATTTCACAGATTCTCTGTCAGACTGTAAATATGTTCCTGTTCAGAGATCAGTACTGTTCTTTTATTTAAATACAGTAATAAAGGTTTTATTTCTTTTTAGGGCTCATAATTGTTGACCATCCTGAACTTTCAAAGCAGTCTTCCTTCTGAAGATGCCTCATTTTCTGAACATGCCGCTTTGTATTTTCTGCTTTCAATAAACTGTCGTAACAGTTTCCACTGTAGTCATATATAGACTGATATAACACACTGACCATGCTTTCTATATTTCATAACTTGCAGTTTTTCTAGTGATATTTAACCAAACACCCTTGCTAAAAAATAAATTAGAGGGTCTTTTTGTGAAATGGCTGTTATCCTATGCAAATAAGATACATGTGTGTATATAGTTTTTAAGTGCTGAATTTATCTGACCTTTCTCAGGTAACCAGCAGATTCCTTTTTATCTAGGAAAAGGACTTAATGAAAAATTTTCATGCGTAAGCATAAGTTATTATACCAGTGTCTGCAATATAATTATTATTACAGGCAGAATTAACACTTTGGGTTGCTGTATACATGTATATTTTTGATTACACAGTTTAAGACCTATTGGGAATATTAATGTTTCATAAAATTGATTTGCATTTTAGCATATAGAAATTGACTATCAGGCCAGGTGCGGTGGCTCACGCCTGTAATCCCAGCACTGTGGGAGGCCAAGGTGGTTGGATCATGATGTCAGGAGTTTGAGACCAGCTTGGCCAATGTAGTAAAACGTGTCACTACTAAAAATACAAAAAATTAGCTGGGCATGGTGGCACTGCCTGTAATCCCAGCTACTCAGGAGGCTGAAGCAGGAGAATTGCTTGAACCCGGGAGGTGGAGGTTGCAGTGAGCTGAGATCACGCCATTGCTCTCCAGCCTGGGTGACAGTGTGATACTCTGTCTGAAAAAAAAAAAAAAAAAAACATTGCCTATCAGGCTGGGCGCTGAGTCTTGCACCTGTAATTCCAGCACTTTGGGAGGCTGAGGTGGGAGGATTGCTTGAGTCCAGTAGTGCAAGATCGTATATCTTAAAAAAAAAAAAAAAAAAATTGAGTATCACAAGATTTATGTAGCTCCCAAGATAAGTATCTTTCTTCCTTTTTTTTTTTGGGATGGAGTCTCGCCTGTTGCCCCGGCTGGAGTGCAATGGCGTGATCTTGGCTCACTACAACCTCTGCCTCCTGGGTTCAGGCAGTTCTGCCTCAGCCTCTGGAGTAGCTGCGATTACAGGTGTCTGCCACCATGACCGGCTACTTTTTTGTATTTTTAGTAGTGACGGGGTTTCACAATGTTCACCAGGCTAATCTTGAACTCCTGACCTCGTGATCTGCCCGCCTTGGCCTCCCAAAGTGCTGGGATTACAGGCATGAGCCACCGCGCCCAGCCTATGATAAGTATCTTAATATATATGCCATTTGTGTATATTCTTTATGTACAGAAACACTTCCGTAAACTAGACCCCTTAATTGGAATTTTTCTGCATTCTATGGCAGAGGTTCAACTCTGGCTGTACAATGGAATCACTGAGGAACTTTAATACCGATGACTGGGGCCCCCTCTCAGGGATTCATATAAATTGATCTAGATTGAGTGGGTTTCTGCAAAGGCCCAGGTTTGTTTTCATTTTGTTTTAAGTGCTCCCAGGTGATTGTAATGTGCAGTCAGGGCTGAGAACCACTGCTCTAGAGACAAATTTTATACCTACAAACGCACACAATCAGCCTTTTAAGGATTGTTTGAAAATCAAAACACAAAACTTTGAGAATGTAATTTGGGTTCAGTACAGTATGTATATTGCCCAGTCTTCTAGAATCTGTTATTGAAAGTATGGTGCTCAGACCAACAGCATTAGTCTCAGCTGGAAGCTTATTAGAAATGCAGAATTGCAGGGCCTTACCCCAAACCCACTGAATGGAACAAGATCCCCAGGTGATTTGTACATATATTAAAGTTTGAGAAGCAGTACTTTAGATGTAGATATAAATGTTCTGTGTGATAAAAATTGATAATTAGAATCTTCTTCCATGTGCATAGGATTCTCAGATTTGTGCATTAGTCAATGTCATTTACTGTAAAGCATTTTAAAAAATACTTTCAACAAGAAAAGTAGAACAAAAGAGTTCTTATGTAGTGAGCCTCAGGTGACCAGAAAATTACCAGAGGTCTCTGTCACTAAGACAGGGAAAAGGGTTACTATTTTGCCTATCCTAGTTGGTTGGTTCTTGATTACTTTGTGATGCTTTTCTCTTTTCTTGCCTTCCAGTTCTATCCTTGTCACCTCTCTTCATTATGAGATAGAAAATGTTACTTTTTTACAAGTACAGGTGTGAATATTGGAGACACTCTGCTAATAGGTGCCCCAGGATTTAGGAAATTTGGTAGTGGTAGGTTTAGAGCTTTCTGTGAGGGGATAGAAATGGGCAGAATTGAGGAATGGTTCCCAATTGCCTTTGTTTCTTAAGTGTAATATACTAACTTCATAAATCAATTTTCCTTACATAACAAGAATCAAATACCTATTAAAGTACACAGTGACAAATAATGTAGTATTAAGATTCATATGTATTAAAAGGAATGGTTCAGTATGAATGCTCAGAGACAAATAATGTATTAAGATTCATATGTATTAAAAGGAATGGTTCAGTATGAGTGTTGAGATAGTACTCTAAATTGCAGTGTATCAAATTAGGTTCAGGAATGATATTTTTACTTTTTTTTTGAGACGGTGTCTCACTCTTGTCACCCAGACTGGAATGCAGTGGTACAATCTCAGCTCACTGCAACCTCCACCTTCAGGGCTTAAGTGATCCTCCTGTCTCAACTTCCCAAGTATCTGGGAAGCACGACTATAGGTGTGTGCCACACTGGGTAATTTTTGTATTTTTATCAGAGACAGAGTTTCACTATGTCACCCAGGCCGGTCTTGAACTCCTGGACTCAAGCAGTCCACCTGCCTCAGCCTCCCAAAGTGCTAGAAATACAAGCATGAGTCACCGTGCACGGCCAGGAATGACTTTTTTTTTAATTTTTGAGACACAGTCTTGCACTGTCGTTCAGGCTGCAGTGCAGTGGCATAATCTTGGCTCACTGGGCTCACTGCAACCTTCGCCTCCCAGGTTCAGGTGATTATCCTGCCTCAGCCTCCCAAGTAGCTGGGACTACAAGCGTGAGCCACCACGCCTGGATAATTTTTGTATTTTTAGTAGAGATGGGGTTTCGCCGTGTTGGCCAGGCTGGTCTTGAACTCCTGACCTCCTGCCTCGGCCTTCCAAAGTGCTAGGATTACAAGCATGAGCCACTGCACCTGGCCTGATACTTTTAATGTGTACGTTTTTCATACCTAGAGGCACATGAAGAGATAAAAATAATGTTTAAATTTTTATGATAAAAGAATCTCAAATACATTCACCAAGCAACCATGTGGATATCAATTGAAAAATTGCAGTCAGATTATTTCTTAAATCCCACAATTGTAAAATTTCTAAATTGGTATATGTGACTTAGAGGGATTTTTTTTCATCAAGCACAACAACGCCAACGTCTCTAGAAAACTTTTCAAAGATTCATTTGTAATTTATAGATTTATCCTAGAAATGAGAGGTTTTTAGTGGAGACTTAACCTATGTCATCATTTCTCCTGACAAATTGCATTTGTGAAGTTTACTCTTTGCAGTGCTGTAACCTTACTGAAAGTTCATTCCACAAAAGGAATGGATTCATCTGCACTTTAAGGTTTAGTGATTGAAACTACTTTATATTTATAATGTATGAGTGCTTTTTTCATTTAATGTAGTGGTTTAAAAGTGTTTTGGACCTTCAGAGACACCCTCTCTTCTGTTTACTGCTCCTTAATTTTAGTAAAGTCTGAAGCCCTAATAAAAATTTTTTTTAACATGGGGTATTGGATCTCCCTCCTCAATTTTTTTTTAAAGCCAATTTTAAAGGCAGCATTTCTAAGTACAGTAATTGGTTAAACATCTTTTTTCCTCCTGGGTTTCTTTTTAGGAACTACTGACAAAAACCTATAGTCGACTTTGGGATCTGACTTTATTATTCAGCAACTCAAAGATGAGTTCTAATTGGCAGACTTCTGGCACTGGCACTTGTCCTCCTGTTTCTATAGAAACTGGGTTGGAAGTCAGAGCTGCACAAAGGGAAAGGGTAAGTTTCTTTTAATTCCATATTTATAAACCCGTATCTTATTAACTGTGACATGGTGTCAGTTTTCACATAAGAATATACATCCTCGAACCAGAACTCAAATATGTACTACTGATTTTCACTTAAGTGGCAACTGACATCAAGTCACTAAATGTAATAGGAGGGTTTAAATATGGATTTATTTTTCTTGTGACTGACTTCACATTTCTTGAAGCAGTGAACTCAATGTCATAATTCTCACTTTCAGCTATTTTTAATTTGGGGGTCATAAAATTGGTTTTTATTATCTTAGATCTTATTCTGTTGTACTTTTCTGGTAAATGAAAATTGGAAGGACATTTTGAAAGTCTGCATGAATTATAAATTTTGTTGTAGCGAAGTCTCATTCTTCTTTCCATTATAAAGTACTATACTACTGATCAGTTTTTTTAGTCTCTCTACTCTCTTAGCCAAGCAGGATGAGTTCGTCTGTTGGTGCACATACATTTGTTTTCATCCAGGCAGACACCCATTATTTGTAGAACCTAAGACACCTGCCAGTTGGTGAGTCATCTTATTGCTATGGCTTCAGAGGACTGCTGTATAGCTGGAGTATTTAGGCTTGAAATTGTTGAATTAGGTATGATAAGCACATTCCTTTGATTTACAGGTTGCCATATATAAATAACTTATATTGAACCGTGACTAGTTTTGAGATAGTGGAAGGAAGGCAGTATTTGCTGTTGCTCTTTAAAAGTTGTCTCACTTGGCCGGGCGCGGTGGCTCAAGCCTGTAATCCCAGCACTTTGGGAGGCCAAGACGGACGGATCACGAGGTCAGGAGATCAAGACCATCCTGGCTAACATCGTGAAACCTCGTCTCTACTAAAAAATACAAAAAAAACTAGCCGGGCGAGGTGGCGGGCACCTGTAGTCCTGGCTACTCAGGAGGCTGAGACAGGAGAATGGCGTAAACCCAGGAGACGGAGCTTGCAGTGAGCTGAGATCCAGCCACTGCACTCCAGCCTGGGCGACAGAGCGAGACTCTGTCTCAAAAAAAAAAAAAAAAAAAAAAAGTTGTCTCACTTACTTCCTTGGTCCTGGCATACTGCCTTTAAGGGATGGACTTCTTTTTTTCCTGATAAAAGACGTAAGATTGGTTGACACAAGTCAAAGGGTGGAACACCTTGCCATTACTTCTGCTCAATTTGTCACTTTAAAAATAGTTTAGAAAGTAAAACCTGGAAGCTTGTCAATAGGAAAAGTAAACTCATTTTTAAAAATTTCTTTCACAAGACAAATAATGCCTTAAAGTGAATTCTCTTTTTTAAATTTTAATTTAATCTACTCTGATGAATTCTCATTAAAAGTGTTGTATGCCTCCTTTGTTGATTTCTGTTTTGCTCATTAGTGCTTGCACGAGGTAAAAATAGAAATGAATTTGTGGATTTTTTTTTTTGTTTGGAAGGTGGCTAGAAAATACTTTAGTCTTGGCCGGGCGCGGTGGCTCAAGCCTGTAATCCCAGCACTTTGGGAGGCCGAGACGGGCGGATCATGAGGTCAGGAGATCGAGACCATCCTGGCTAACCCGGTGAAACTCCGTCTCTACTAAAAACTACAAAAAACTAGCCGGGCGAGGCGGCGGGCGCCTGTAGTCCCAGCTACTCGGGAGGCTGAGGCAGGAGAATGGCGTTAACCCGGGAGGCGGCGCTTGCAGTGAGCTGAGATCCGGCCACTGCACTCCAGCCTGGGCGACAGAGCGAGATTCCGTCTCAAAAAAAAAAAAAGAAAATACTTCAGTCTTTCGTTGTGTGCTATCAAGTATCCAGACGTAGTCCCCACTACTTAATAAGGAGTAGCCAACTCATCCTGGCTTTAAAATTGAAAGTCCTATGTCTCAAGAACTCCTTTGTTTCTGTCTAGACCCAGACAGTCACCCTAATCCTAGTTCATTCTCTGTATCCCTAAAAAGGTCTCACTAAGTTGTTATTGAGTATCATTTTGAATGGAAGGAGATTTCACAGTATACTAGCTTCTGGCGGAATGTATTAGGGATTAGGTTCTTTATTTTTATTTTTATTTGTTTATTTTTTGGGGGTTGGAGTCTCGCTCTGTCTCCCAGGCTGGAGTGCAGTGGTGCCATCTTGGCTCACTGCAACCTCCACCTCCCAGGTTCAAGCGATTCTCCTGTCTAGCCTCCTGAGTAGCTGGGATTATGGGTGCCCACCACCATGCCTGGCTAATTTTTGTATTTTTAGTAGAGACAGGGCTTCATCATGTTGGCCAGGCTGGTTTCAAACTCCTGACCTCAAGTGATCCACCCGCCTCGGCCTCCCAAAGTGCCTGGATTTCAGGCGTGAGCCACCATGCCCTGCCCCAGGTACTTTTTTCATGAAATGACTTATTTGTCTCAGTGATCCTAAGTCATGCCAATTTAATTCTCACAGAAATAAAACATGGAGAATTTTAAATGGATTTTATAAGTTGCTTTCAAGCACTTTAGTTATTTTTTGTTTGTGTATATGTTGAGACCATAGATGACAAATGTGAGACAACTGAGTAGATATTTGTGACAAATGAGTAGCCACATGAGGCAAATATGTAGATATAAAGCCTCATACAAGGTGGTTCTGGCTTAAGAGAAACACTCAAGGCTTTTAAAAAGTATTGGGCTTTGGGCCGGGTGTGATGGCTCATGCCTGTAAGCCCAGCACTTTGGGAACCTGGATCGGGGATCACTTGAACTCAGGAGTTTAAGACCAACTGGGCAATGTGGCAAAACTCCATCTCTAATAAAAATACAAAAATTAGCTGGGTGTGGTGGTGTGCACCTGTAGTCCCAGCTACTCCGGAGGCTGAGGGAGGCTGGGGCAGGAGAGTTGCTTGAGCCTGGGAGACAGAGGTTACACTGAGCCGATATTGCACCACTGCACCAGAGCCCAGGCAACATGAGTGAAACCCTGTCTCAATAAAAAGTATTGGGCTTTGGTTTTATGTGAGGTCTTCAGAGAAACCACCGTCCAAGTTTTACACTATGTCTCTCTTAAAAACAATTAAAATAATAGTGTATGATTTTTTTCCTTACATGGAAAAAGCTGATTTTACAGTTAGACAAATGTATTTACTAAATAAACATATTTTGCAAATAGGACATCACACATATACCTTAATTATTTGAAAAAAATCACAAAAGTATCATTTCAGTACATTTAAGTATAATTATTGCTTTTAATAAAGTTAAACTCCTAGAGAATCATTAAAGAAGAAAAGCCAGGGGCCATGAGCTAATTAATCAGCACCAGTAATTAGGTTTTAAAATTGGCTTTGTTGAGGGCTAGCTTTAGGCAAATAACTTGTTCTTAATTGCTTTTGTTCCTTATATATAAAATAGAAATAATAATAATAATTATCCATACTATGTTACAGAATTAACGTGATGATAATGAGGTAATAGATGGGAAATAACTCCAAATGGTTAACAGTACCATAAGGTAGAGTTTTAGTGTCAGAAATAGTATTTTACAATGACATGTATGGAAAACTCCTTCTTTTATAATGATGGAAATATCCTAACAGTTTTAAACATAACCCAAGAAGTAGCAGAGAAGAAAGTATACTGAAGTATACTGATCTTTTATGTTCAGATTACCATAGCTCTACTAGATATGTATGTGTATTTTAAGGCTTACAATTTGTAAACACTCCAACTATTAATAATCACATTAAGGAATTACAGATGGCCCTGTACGTAGGCATTATTTTCTCTTTAATCAGGTTCACTGAGTATTGGGTGACCTAAGAAAGTTAATTATCTAAACAACTACATTATTATTGCATTGTAGCAGATGTATTTTGTGGTTTTAATTTTGACGGAGGTGGAGGATGGGGGGTGGTTCTTAGGTACTTTGCATCTTTGCATTCTCTATTTTTTTTTAAGACAAGGTCTCGCTCTGTTGCCCAGGCTGGAGTTTAGTGGCGTGATCATAGCTCACTGCAGCTTCCACCACCTGGGCTCGAGTGATCCTCCTGCCTCAGCCACCTGAGTAGCCTGGACTACAGGCATGTGCCACCATGTCCAGCTAATTTTTAACAATTTTTTTTGTAGAGATGGGGCTCACTGTGTTGCCCAAGCTGGTCTTAAACTCCTGATCACTCAAGTGATCCTCCCACCTCAGCCTCCCAAAGTGCCAGGATTACAGATGTGAGCCACCTGGCCTGCATTCTCCTTTTTGTTTCAATACAGACATTAAAATTTTAGGCCAATTTGAGTTAGATTTTTGTTATAACTGCTTTCAATTGAATTAGCTTCATAATCTGTTGATACTGCCAAGAAGCCAGAGTAATGTAAAGGGGAAAGAGTAGGGTTTTGTGTTAGATTGTGTTTGGATTATTACTCCACTACTTACTGGGTATTTAATTTCTTTGACCTTCAGGCTGGGCACAGTGGCTCATGCCTGTAATCCCAGCATTTGGAGAGGCCCAGGTGGGCAAATCAGCCTGAGGTCAGGAGTTCAAGACCAGCCTGGCCAACATGGCAAAACCACATCTCTACTAAAAGTACAAAAATTAGCTGGGCCTGGTCGTGGGTGTCTGTAATCCCAGCTACTGGGGAGGCTGAGGCATGAAAATTGCTTGAACCCGGGAGGTGGAAGTTGCAGTGAGCACAGATCATGTCATTGCACTCTAGCCTGGGTGACAAGAGTGAAACTCCATCTCAAAATAAATAAAACTGAATTATTTTAAAAAATAATAATTTCTTTGACCTTCAGTTTCTTCATTTGTAGAATAGGCATCATAGTATAGTATCTCTATCGGATTCTGAAGGTTATCATGAAGACTAAATAGGGTATTTGTCGGCTGGGTGCAGTGGCTCACACCTGTAATCCCTGCACTTTGGGAGGCTGAGGCGGGAGATTCACTTGAGTCTAGGAGTTCTAGACCAGCCTGGGCAACATAGCAAAACCCCATCTCTACCAAAAATAACAAAACTTTGCCAGGTATGGTGCACGCCTGAGGTCCCAGCTACTTGGGAGGCTGAGGTGGGAGGATCACTGGAGCCCAGGAAGTAGAGGCTGCAGTGAGCTGTGATTGTACCACTGCACGCCAACCTGGGTAACAGAGCAAGACCTGGTCTCAAATAAAAATTTTTTGAAAGAAAATTTTTTTTAAAAAAAGATACGTGTCTACCTCAGTGACTGGTATGTTATTAGATGTTGAAGTAAAGTTATTCACCACTCTACCACCCCAAGCGCACTTATTCATATATAAGTTGTGTAATATTTGTTTCCTCTTTGTCTTATGGAATCTCTTCGGGGGGGAGAAAAAATCAGCGACTATTATGCTTTTCTTGAAACTCCGTATATAGCTGGGATGATATTCCTGCATTATGGATTCCTAGAAGTGTTTTATATGGCATCTTAAAATATTGTCCAAAAAAATGACAACATTGCAATAAATGAACAGGAACATCATAAGTTAATTGCTAATATGATGAACGCATTAGTTACAGAAGTCGTTAGCTTTCTGTAGTCTTGGGATTCAGGCTTTCTTAATTCACCCCACCCAGGTTTAGAGGGCCTATTACCGTTGAGTAGGATAAAGAACTTCTCTGTTGCATGAGATTCATAAAACCTAAGAATTCAATTTGGAGTTCTTTAGTTGGTCCTACTTAAAATGTACAGCTTGGTTAGATGGGAGGAAGGATCAGGTTGCTCTAGGTAGTTGAAGTCCCTTTTAAAAATAATTGCTACTCTAAAGAGAAGGAGGAATTAATGAAAGTGGTTCATAAAATCATTGATTTCTTTTATCTTTTGTTTTGACATGAAAGCAGAATGGACATTAGCAGTTACTATATATGAAGGGCATTTTGCCTGATACAACTATATTTTCTTTTTTTTTTTTTTTTTTTTTGAGACGGAGTCTCACTCTGTTGCCCAAGCTGGAGTGCAATGGCATGATCTCACTGCCACCTCTGCCTCCCGGGTTCAAGCAATTCCCCTGCCTCAGCCTCCTAAGTAGCTGGGACTATAGGCGTGCGCCACTGCACCCAGCTAACTTTTGTATTTTTAGTAGAGACAGAATTTCACCATGTTGGTTAGGCTGGTCTTGAACTCCTGACCTCAAGTGATCCACCTGCCTTGGCTCTTAAAGTGCTAGGATTAAAGGTGTGATCAGCCATGCCCGGCACAAGTATATTTTCATGGGTTTAGTCCTCACAGTACGTCTGTGAGGTAGGTTGGTGGTATTTTCATTTTACAGAGGAGGAAATTGGGTCTCAGAGAAGTTAATTTTAAAACTAACTTTCATGAGGGCATATGGTAACAAGTGGCAGAGCTGATATTTATTATTAGTTAACTATTTTTGCTGTTTGTATGTGTAAGGGGGTGGTATTTTTTTCATATTTTCTTACATGTAAAATGTAAAAGTATTAGACATCCATATCTAAATGTAAAAATGACATTTTTTTAAGTCAGAAAACCAGTTTTCTTTTTTCTTTTGCTTTAGAAAGCCATAAAAACCATATTTAAATAGGATCAACTACTGTTTTTTTTTTTTTAACATAACTGAGATTTGAACCCAGATTAATTTGGTCCCAAAGCTTATGCTAGGCCTTGGAGAGTACAAAGATGAATGAAACCTCATTCATCTTGTTGATCTTGCAGACTAATGGAAAGGATTGACATGTGAGTTCATGTAGTAATCTGTTAAAAGTTAGATAGGATTCCAGATGAGAATGACTGCTGGGGAAGATTTTTCCAAAGGAGGTAGCCTTTGAGTGAGTCAGATAGTGAAAAGTGAAATGGTGCCTAGTAGAGAAGGCATACATAGGCAGTGACAGGGTATGGAGCTAAAACCAGTCTTCTAGAGTTTTTCTCTGTAAGGAATCAATAGACATTTTAAAGCAGAGAGGAATGAAAGAATAGAATAACGATAATGGTAATAGTTTAAGAAGCATTCTGGGCCAGGTGTGGTAGCTCACGCCTGTAACCTTGCCACTTCGGGAGGCCGAGACGTGTGGATCACTTGAGGTTAGGAGTTTGAGACCAGTATGGCCAAGATGGTGAAACCCTGTCTCTATTAAAAATAACAAAAATTAGCCGAGCATGGTGGCCAATGCCTGTGATCCCAGCTACTTGGGAGGCTGAGGCAGGAGAATAGCTTGAACCCTGGAGGTGGAGTTTGCAGTGAGCCGAGATCACACCACTGCACTCCAGCCTGGGCGACAGAGTGAGACCCTGTCTCAAAAAAAAAAAGCATTCTGAAGGAGATGCTAAGGGTGGTTGGTGTTGCAGATGCAGGGAACTCTAGCTGGTTTTTTCCTCTTAAAGATCACTCAGGAGGAGGAAGAGGAGGGAAAAAAAAGCTTACTCAAATAATGAAGGCTCTCTATTCACATGCAATCGCTTAGTCTAAGTGACATTATTAACATAATTATTCCATATACAAGAAACATCTTTTAATTTAAACCTATTTCCCATTAAAACCACCTATTCAGCTTTCATGTAAATCTTGTAAAGAGATGTTTCAATATTTAGTGTGAATATTTTGTTAATTAGATGTAGTGGAAAATGACACTTTGATGGGCAAAATTGCTGTTCAAATGATCTTGAAATGAAGTTTTTAAAGCAATTTTTATATACTGTTTATTATTTAGCAATACATACTTATCATAGAAATTTAAGAACCTAAGTAATACAAAGAAAGTAAGGATTACCTTTAATCAATAAACAAAGATAAACTTTTGGAGGGAGTATATACCATTCCAGTCACTAAGTGAGGTTTTAATATTCAGATTCTAGGGTTCTGATCAATCAAAGGTTATTTTTCGCACTTCTGTAAATTAAGAAAAAATGTTCTATCTTTACATATTTTAGTGACTGAATTACCATGGCGTAATTGAGAGTTTGGATTTATTATGGTACATTCCGATTTCTATTTAATATATAAGATACCTGATTAAAATTTCAGACTATTTGATTAAATACTAACAATACAGGCTGCTATTACTCTTGTCTTGCTACCAATTAGACATTTCTCAGAATGCTAAAGCAAGAAGGAACCTTAAAAACTTATCTGGTTGGCAGCGCCCCGTGACTCATTCCTGTAATCCCAGCACTTCGGAGGTCAAGGCGGGCGGATCAGGAGGTCAGGAGATGGAGACCATCCTGGCTAACATGGTGAAACCCTGTCTCTACTAAAAATACAAAAAATTAGCTGGGTGTGATGGTATGTGCCTGTAGTCCCAGCTACTTGGGAGGCTGAGGCAGAATCGCTTGAATCTGCGAGGGGGAGGTTGCAGTGAGCCGAGATTCCGCCACTGCACTCCAGCTTGGGTGACAGAGTGAGACGCCGTCTCAAAAAAAAAAAAAAATTCTTGTTTACCTTCTCATGTTACAAATATAGATGCGTTTCTTTCAAGCTTTTGTTTCCAGTGACATACTAGTTTAGGTTTTCTTTCGTTAAGCTCTCACTTGATTGCAGTCTTCTTTCTTTCAGGTCAGACTGTTTTTCCGTCTTTCGGCCAATGGTACAAAAAAAAAGGAAACTGAAGAGAGGAGATAGCATATGCCAGAGAAGTAGAAAGAGCCATTGTATGTCTGGGTATAATCATATAACCAGCCTGGAAGGAAGGAATGATTTCTGTTAGGGAAGGAAATTTTGCCATTAGTAGTTCTCAGCCATGAATAGCTCCTCAAAGCAAGGAGCCTCCTGTATTGTGACCCATTCTAACTTAGTGAAGCTTCTTAGCTGTCCTATTTTTCACTGATGAAGCTGAATGAGCTCCCCTGACTTAGGGACTTACCCCATCTCCAATCTTACAGTGGAAGTTGGAGAAAATTAGGGACACATACCATTTTATTTTACCATGAATTTTATTAGAAGACCACTATTATGAAGAAAATAATCATAAATTACTATTTTCCAAAGAAAAAAAGAAGTGATAATATCAGTTTTCTTTTTTCCTTTACTAAACAAACACTTGAATACTTACTATATTCCTGTTAATATTGCTAGGTGTTGAGGACATAGTAGTGAGCCAAAACAGATACGGTCCCTGCCCTCACAGAACTTCAGTGGGGAGATAGGTACCAGCCACATAAATAATATGTGATAAGTGCTATGAAGGGAAGGTGCAGGGGGCTATGAGAATATATGAGAAGAAACTGACTGCTTGATCATGTGGGTTAAACAATGACTAGTTCCACCCTGAAATCTAAATGCTTTTTTTTTTTTTTTTTTTTTGAGACAGAGCCTAGCTTTGTCACCCAGGTTGGAGTGGTGTATTGGCACAATCTCTGCTTACTGCAACCTCCACCTCCTGGGTTCAAGAGATTCTCCTGCCTCAGCCTCCCAAGTAGCTGGGATTACAGGCGCCTGCCACCATGCCTGGCTAATTTTTGTGTTTTTAGTAGAAATGGAGTTTCGCGATGTTGGCCAGGGTGGTCTCGAACTCCTGACCTCCAGTGATCTGCCCATCTTGGCCTCCCAAACTGCTGGGACTATAAGCATGAGCCACTGCGCCTGGTCCTAAATGCTTTTTAAAAGCATAAGTTGGAGGGTTCCTCAAAGTCTTTTGGCTAATGGCACATACCAAAACCTAAGCAAAACCCTTTTTTTTTTTTTTTTTAAACTGAGTAGGTGATAGCAAAGAATATTTATGCTAAGGCACATCATTGCAAAAGTCGACACTGAAAAAGGCAAATAATGTCCTTAGTATTACCATGACAATAATTTTGACCTCCTGGACTTCCTAAAGGGTGTCAGGGATCTCTAGGGATCTGTTGACCTCACTTTGAGAAGTTCTTTTCTAAAGTGTATTATGTATATTATATCTGATCACTTATTCAAGAAATTTCAGTGCTGTATGGCAGCACAGGTCTGGGTTCCAGGGATATATCCCTGAACAAAATAGATGAAAATATCTGCCCTCATGGAGCTTACATTGTGTCTTTGATTTTTCCCTTCTGTCTTAGATCATGATGCCTCACTGGATATATAGAGTATACCCTCCCCCACCTTTTTCTTCTGGTCTGCTTGTCTCATCTCCTCTTTATTCTCTTACGGACAAAGGAGATGAGACAAGCAGACCAGAAAAAATTGACTTAATTTATTTTTGTTTTATAGCTCTGTGTTTTCCTGTTATTAACGTAAACAGTAAGTGAATAGAATGTTTTATAGCCTCTTTAAGTTCAACTAACTTTGAGTTGCTTTTTACTTACTGACTCCTGTTTGATTAGTGACCTCTATTAAATGTTTCTTGGAGTTACTAGAGTGAAAACAACTAGGACAAGTCTTTGTGTTATGTTGATTGTTATTGACCAATAGATCTCTAAGAAATAGGTGACTAGTCTCTGAACTCTTGTAGACATTTCTAGAAAGGAGGGAGTATGGAAGGTAGCAGTCCTTACCCTCCCAGTCCCTTGTCATTCTTGCCTTAGTCCTGCCAACACAGCAAATATATTAAAGTATATGTGTCTGTGTATGTATATGTGTATATATAAAACCTGTGAATTATAAAATAGTGGTCTCAGAAGTAACACCCTGGGGAAAGACTAGGAATTCTTGGATGAAAAGGCCAACAGTGCTACTAACATGTCAGGTAGGCACAGCTAAAAATAGTAAAAATGGATTGAAGAGGAAAACTGTTTATAAGCCTTTTCTTTATTTCTTTTTCTTTTTCTTTTTTTTTTTTTTTTTAATTTCTTACAGAGACTGGGTTTAAGTTACCCACGCTAGTCTCAAATTCCAGGCCTCAAGTCATCCTCGTGCCTTGGCCTCCCAAAGTGCTGGGATTACAGGTGTGAGCCATCTTGCCGACCAAGCCTTTCATTTTATACACAAACACATATGCGCGCCTGCGCGTACACACACACACACACACACACACACTCTTTCTCTCTCTCACACACACACTCACTTTTTTTTTGTTTTTTGAGATGGAGCCTTGCTCTGTCACCCAGTCTGGAGTGCAGTTGTGCAATCTCAGTTCGCTACAACCTCCGACTCCTAGGTACAAGTGATTCTCTTGCCTCAGCCTCCTGAGTTGCTGGGATTATAGGTGCCCACCACCACACCTGGCTAATTTGTTTGTATTTTTAGTAGAGATGGGGTTTTGCCATGCTGGCCAGGTTGGTCTCAAACTCCTGATCTCAGGTGATCTGCCTGCCTCAGCCTTCTAAAGTGCTGGGATTTCACTCACTCTTAGAATGCTGTTTCTGAAACATTAAGTATTAAAATATAGTCATGTGGCACATAACAGGACAAACCTCATGAGGTTATGATATGCATTTTTACTGTATCCTTCTATGTTTAGATACATGAGTACTTTGTTTAGATACACAAGTATCTTTCAATGTTTAGATACAGTTGCCTACAGTACTCAGCACGGTAACATGCTGTATAGATTTGTGGCCTAGGAGCAATAGGCTCTACCAGATAGCCTAGGTGTGTGTAGGTAGGGATACTGTTCATCTGACAACAAAATATCTAACAACACATTTCTCAGAATGTATCCCTGTTAAGTAACTCATGACTATATTTAATATGTTTTCTTACCAGGGCAGGGAATTGTTTAGCATGTTTTAGAATTATTTCTATGTATTTCCATGCAAAATTACGTGAAATAAAACCTAGATGAAATAATTGTTGTAAATCTGTTTCTCAGCATATTTGATCATTGAGATATTTGTATTTTTTAAATTCTAAATTAAGATCCAATTGCCATTCAATAGGGTAATAGTATACAGTCAAGTATTTAGTTTTAGGATGGTATTTATACTAGCAAATAGGAGGTAAAATGTAGGATGCAGAAATACACATATGACTGATTATTTTATGAAAGTATAGTTGTTATAATCAAGCTTATATTTAAGTGGCTACTAGGTAAGTTAAATTTTGAGCTTCATTGGTATTGGAACATTTACTTTATTTGGTTGGAATAACTAGCCTTTCTCTACTGCTGAAAGTAAAAGGATTGGCCAGGCACAGTGACTTATGCCTGTAATCCCAGCACTTTGGAAAGCCAAGGCAGGCAGATCGCTTGAGCCCAAGAGTTCATGGCCAGACTGGGCAATGTGGTGAGACCCTATCTCTACAAAAAAGAAGTAATAAAGTAGCTGGGTGTTGGCTAGGCGTGATGGCTCATGCCTATAATCTTAGCACTTTGGGAGGCCTAGGTAGAAGGATCACTTGAGCTTAGGAGTTCAAGACCAGCCTGGGCAACATAGTCAGACCTTGACCCTATTCTATCAAAAAGTAAAATTAAATTTAGAAAAGTATTGGAAAAGAATAAAGAAAAAGTTAAAGAAAAAAAAAGTCAGGTGTCATGGCACATGTCTGTAGTCCCAGCTACTCAGGAGGCTGAGTTGGGAGAATCACTTGAGCCTAGGAGGTTAAGGCTGCAGTGAGCTGTGATTGTGCCACTACCCTCCAGCCTGGGCAACAAAGGGAGAGCCTGTCTCAAAAATTTAAAACAGATAGATAGATAGATAGATAGAAAATGAGTGTCTGATTTTGTTATTTTTCTGTATTTTTTTTTTTTTGTAACAGTATGAAAAATCTGTTCAGATGCACTTCTGACCCTAAACAGTTTAATGCTTTTAAGTAAAATTTTTTTTTTTTTTTTTTTTGAGAGGAGTCTCGCTCTGTCGCCCAGGCTAGAGTGCAGTGGCGCGATCTCCACTCACTCCCAGCTCCGCCTCCTGGATTCAAACCATTCTCCTGCCTCAGCCTCCCGAGTAGCTGGGACCACAGGCATCTGCCGCCACGCCTGGCTAATTTTTTGTATTTTTAGTAGAGATGGGGGGGTTTCACCATGTTAGCCAGGATGGTCTCGATCTCCTGACCTCGTGATCCGCTCACGAGGAAATTATTGTTGATAGTTCAGAAGCCACTGTATTCTCACCATTTTAAATGGAAGCACACACATAAGTTGACACTGAAAAGACTAGTTTCCTTTGTGGTCATAGCATAAGCATTGTGAATGTCAGAAAAAGACAAGATTACATACCAGTGGTAATCTAGGATAATGTGCATGTATCTGAAAGTTCACTCTGTGCCTGGTATTACTGTTTGTAGCCAGCACTCTGAGGAATAAACTGGCAGCTGATGCAGAATTATTAAGCTGAAGACCTCTGTAAGCATTTCCTCAGTGTCTACAGGCTACCTGCATCAGATTTACCTGAGATGCATGTTAATAATGTAGATTCATTGGATTCTGTCAAGCAGAACTTCATCCTGGGTGGCACTCAGTTGATTCTTATGCACAGTAAAATTATTATTTAACAATAATAATTATTGTATTTGAAGTTATTAATCCAGACTCTTTTCTTATATCTATGGCTATAGAACTTGTTTTAGGCAGAAATGTCTAATAATATTTCTTGTGATAATTTAAAACAAATAGGAAGATTGGGCTGAGCTTCCTTAAACACTTGCGCAAACCAGCTTTTTTTTACAGTCAGTAAAAAAGGAATAAGAATAATCATTGAAGTTAGATATTTAATATAGGATTCTGAATTCATTTTTTAAGTGTTAATACTTTAAAACTATTCCACATCATTTTATGTGTTAGGTCATACATGCTTCAAAAGGAATTTAGCATCCTGTCTAAAAAGTATTCATGCCTTCAGACATCTCAGAACTTGATTGTTAAGCCAAGTTATGAATCATTTTTATTAGGATTACTGTGTAAGTTTACTATTGGTCATCTTATTAAAACTTAACATGGCTAGGTGCAGTGGCTCACACCTGTAATCCCAGCACTTTGGGAGGCCGAGGTGGGCAGATTGCTTGAGCTCAGTAGTTCGAGACCAGCCTGGGCAACATGGTGAAATCTCATCTCTACTAAAAATAGAAAAAATTAGCTGAGCATGGTGGGACACACCTGTAGTCCCAGCTACTCGGGAGACTGAGGTTAGAGAATCACTTGAACCTGGAGGTTGCAGTGAGCCAAGATCATGCCACTGCACTCCAGCCTGGGTGACAGAGGGAGACTCCATCTCAAAACAAAAAACAAACAAAAAATTTAAGGTCCTTAATTCCAAAGTTTCTTGGTGCTAGTTCTAATAAGTGGTTGAAAATTCTGCAGGTGACTGGTCAGAGTTGAATCAGAATTCCTGTGGTTGGGTTGTAGCATAGTGGCAAATTTCCAAGGTGTGCAGAGACAATTTTTCTCTCATCCCTGGGTCCACTGGAGCCACCAGCTGGCTATTGGCAATCTTGTTCTTTTACTTTGGGTGTATTGCGCAAATACTTTCTATATGTGCCATGATCTGAAAAATCTTGGGAAACTTGGCTTAGCAAATTTAAATTTCAGGGCCTTTTAAGATGGGAACTCAGTAAAGTTTCCTTGGTAGAAATTTGCAATAAGATTTACTAGGAATGCTTCAAGTATTGGCTGTGTGCTGTAAGTTTTATTAAAAGGATCGTGGTGTCTGTTAGGATTTGGAAGCTGGATTCTTTGGCCTTGCAAAGTGTATTACATAAGGGAAGGACTCCTCCTCCTCTTATTAAACCACAATAGAGAGCTATTTGGAATTTATTTTTGATGCTTTGTAGGTATTCATCAATCTTAGGAAAACTGAATCAAAGTAAAAATCTGTAAGGCTTTGTAGTTTATGGGGAAAATAATCACTAGATACATAAAATATTTACTTTTTTTAGCCTTTTTTTCCCCCACAGAATGTATAGAGAACGGGGCTTTGTTTTGCCTTCTCACTTTCTGCCCACTCACCCGCAACCTCCAGAGTGTATTTTCCAAGTAAAATTTTAGGCCATAGAGAAATTCTCAATTGATAGGCTAAGGTGACTGATAAAACTCTAGAGGTCAGGATTGGTAATAGTGGAGCGAGGAACAGATGGAATTTTTGTTTAATACTATATCTGAAATCGAGGATGGGATAGATAGGAAATGACCTATCATTTCATGAGGAGATGACTTTTCTGTGATAGGGGGACAGATATAAGCTTAGATGGATGAATATATATTTTAGCACTTAACTTTTTCCGTAAAACACAAATAGACTTAGTGCAAAATTACCAGTCTCACTCCATGGTATTTCTGATGAGATCGGTAAATAATAGAGACATAAACTTCTTTAGGAGCTAGTTGACTTTAACGTATGCTGGAGTATAATTGACTTACAACTATTTGGCGTTAGAAATTATTTTTCTAGGGCTTGGTGGGGGGAAAAACAAGCGTGAAATACCTGCTTGACTTAAACTTCAACATATTTTAAAGTCATTTTATTATCCCACAGCTCAGAATGTCTTCAATTAAAGGTAAGAAAATAAGGTGATGGGCTACAGTGACTTAATCAGGTGTTCAGTTAATGAAGTAGAAGAATGCAGATTCTAATAATTCACAGTTGTAGAGGTTCTAGGCTGTTCTTAGTATGAAGTCCCGGCAGTGTATGTGGCAGAGTGAATACTGTGTCACGACCTGGTGAGTCATGTGAGGACTGTGAGTAACTTTTATCTTCTGTGTGTCCCACATAGCATTTAACAGAGTACTCTGCTAGTGATTTAGTTGACAGTTATTGAATGAATGCTAAGTTTCAAGTATTTATTTGATAGTTACTTGATTACCAGGTAATCAAGTAATTACTTATAGTGTTTTAGGGGGTTTTCAGAAGATATTTGTGATTAATTTAAATAAATGATCATATATGTATGTTAGCATAGTGTATGCATTTGTCAGTTGGGAAAGGGGGGAATATGGAGAAGTGGGGAACTGCATTCAGTTTTATTTTATAGGCAACTAATATAGTCCCTTGGTTTTATTTTAAAATGAAACTGAGCCTTGAGCATTTTGAGCTTTCATGTCAAATGCCTTGAATGGAAAAGTAGGAATTTCATGTAAGTAGCTTACATCTGCCCTGTATGTTGGAGAATGTGATTAGATATACTTGCTTTTCTGCCCAAGGCACTATTTTTGTATTTATATTGCTTTTTTGCAGGTTTACTTTTGTTAACAGGAGTCTGTGAGAAATAAGGCTTAAAATATCAATACTTCTCATTTTTCCACAGCCTTCCAAGGCTTCCATCTTTGTGCTAGTGTGTAGTTCTGGGTGCCATCTAACCCCAAAAGCAGCAGTTGGGTTTGGATGAGCTGTGTGACATTTGGTCTACACTTAGGTCTACTAACCACCCTGGGTCAGGGAACCTAGAACAATCCTAAAACTCATCTACTCCAATGCAGGCCATATTTTTTAATTAAAATTGAAATTGTTACTGAGTATTGCAAAGGAATAAGAAGGGAGTTTGGGGTAGAGTGGGTGGGCAGGGCGTTGTCTTACAAAGGAGGTGTGGGGACTGGTAAGTTTTAACTTTCATCCTTTCAGTCTCTCAGTTTCAGTAAAGAATTTTGTTGCTACCGTTATTTCTTAAAATCATGAAAGAAAGGTAAGAAATCGAGGTGTATAATTTTCTTGCCCATATTCTCTATATTTTAAAAAATACAAGAATAGTATATATGGGTCTATGAATTTCTTGTGCTGTTTTGCTTTCCTTGAATTATTAAAATATGTTGCATAGAACTAATATTGTTTTCTTTTTTATTTTCATACAGGAAGGACAGAAATATTGTTCATGTAATGTGTTACCTTTTTTGTCTGTGTGATCTACAAGAGCATGGCTGAAATGTTACCATTTTTAAGTAGTGTTTTGACTGAAGATTATTATGAGAAGTTTTACTTTTGTTAGATTCCTAATTTAAAATGCCTATACTCTTTTATAGGAGTTTCAACTTTTGCGATTTGGTAATAACAGATTTAGGTAAGTAAAAAATGAGAATCTTATACAGTTCTGAAGATTCTAAGTTTGGTTGATAATTTAATGTTTCATCACCAGTAAACCTTTTGATTCAGTTAAAGACTCAGTTCTGCCTACATCTGCAAGAACTGAGTTGATCTGTACATCAACATTTCTAATGTTTCTTTGGTAGTTGCTGCTGGAGTCAGAAGTTAGGAACAAATCTAATGGCCTTTGTAACGTCCTCTGTCATTTCACCGAGGAATGACTTAGAGGAACAAAGCTTTCCTGTAATTTATTTCTTCAACAGATGGTTAAGGGCACAGCATTGCAGTTAGAATCTTGTTTAAGATACTAGGAGCACGTCCTGGACTAAAAATTTCTACGTAAGCTTTAGCAATAACCTTATAACTTGCTTTGACTTTTTTGTAGAGCTTACAGAATGTATGGCTGCCTAAGTAATACTCTCTGAATTAATGGGTAAAAAAATATGAGTTTTTTATCCTTACATATGGTGCTAGGATATACTGGATTTGGGCTAACAAAAGCTTGTTAACTTTTTTTTGTCTTATTGACAGAAGTATTTTATATCTCATATTTTACATTACATAGGTGTGTGTGTGTATGAAATAAAAGTTTGAAAATAAAGTGATATATTCTGTTTTTTAATCTGCTCTGTGGTAGTCTGTTTTCATAAAAACAATGAGATCATTACCCAACAAATTTACTTCAGAACTCACATATATACCTGTAGCTTTTTCTTTTCAGGTAATGGTCTTCAGAAAACTTGCCTTGTCTTCTCGAGTATTGAACTATTTAAACATTTTATTTTAAGAAGTATACAAAGACATATAGGACATTAAACGTGTTATAGTTTTGTCGCTTGTCTTTTTCATTTGAGTAAGATATTCTATGCCCTTGTATTTGTTACTTCCTTGTACTTTTGGCCCAATAGGCTTGAAAAGTTTCAAGATACTACTGGGACAGCCAGTGAAGAAGGATCAAGATTGAAAAAATGCATCAGCAAACTGTGTTTGAGCTCTGTTTTCTGTATCTCACTGTCCTGGGTACTAGCCATAGAGTAGTTGTGCAAGGTACTTCTGGTATTTGGCCTCCTTTTACTAGTCCCTATATAACAATTCTGGGCTTTACTTTATAATTCTAGCCTGCTTTCCAGGTGTGAAACGTAGGCTAAGTGTTAGATAGCATGGGAAGGGGTGTGTTCATAAATGCAAATAAGAGAGTTGGTTGCATATTTATATAAATTTTTTCTTTAGAATAAGTATACCTTAATTGAACCTCAGATAGTGGCATAGTTTTTTGTTCCCGGTATGAATTTTTTTTTTTTTTTTTTTTTTTAGACAGGGTCTCACTCTGTCACCCAGGCTGGAGTGCAGTGGCATGATCAAGGCTCACTGCCCTCATTCCTGGGCTCAAGCAATCCTCCTACCTCAGCCTCCTGTGTAGCTGGGACTACAGGTATGCACCACCACATCTGGCTGATTTTTAAAAATTTTTTTGTAGAGATGGTGCCTCACTATCTTGTCCAGGCTGGTCTGGAACTCTTGGACTCACACAATCCTCCCACCTTGGCCTCCCTAAGTGCTGAGATTATAGGCGTGAGCCACTATGCCAGGCCCTCTCAGTAACAATTGTTGTTATCCTTAGTTTATACTCCTTCTTTTAATATTTACTTTTTCTGAATCTTTTTTTTTTTGAGATGAAATCTCGCTCTGTTGCCCAGGCTGGAGTGAAGTGGTGCAAAGTGAAGTCGGCTCATGGCAACCCCATCCCCGGGTTCAAGCAATTCTCCTGCCTCAGCCTCCAGAGTTAGCTGGGATTATAGGTGCCTGCCACTACGTTTGGCTAATTTTTGTATTTTTAGTAGAGATGGGGTTTCTCCATGATGGACAGGCTGGTCTCGAACTCCTGACCTCAGGTGATCCACCCACTTCGACCTCCCAAAGTGCTGGGATTACAGGCGTGAGCCACTGTGCCTGGCCCCTTTCTGAGTCTTAAGAGGTATAAATTTAACATCATTATGAAACTTAATTTTTAAATAATGATAGTGAGACAAGATCAACTCCCTTCTGTCTTACTTCAGGACTAAAAGAAGCAAAAGTAGGTTTTAGGCTAAGTTCCTTTTTGTGGATGATTAGAAATGTCATAGTAATTTGTACATTGAAATACATTGAGAACCTGTGGTGTGTGAGAAACTGAAGTTTAGGTCTGTTCCCTAGAAATATTTCTGTGTGAGTATTTAAGTTTATAATAGTATTAGATTAAATGTTCAGCAAGCATAAAATGTCCAGTTAGGTAAAAGGTGAATGTAAAACTACAATTTAGGCCGGGCGCGGTGGCTCAAGCCTGTAATCCCAGCACTTTGGGAGGCCGAGACGGGCGGATCATGAGGTCAGGAGATCGAGACCATCCTGGCTGACACGGTGAAACCCCGTCTCTACTAAAAAATACAAAAAACTAGCCGGGCGAGGTGGCGGGCGCCTGTAGTCCCAGCTACTCGGGAGGCTGAGGCAGGAGAATGGCGTGAACCCGGGATGTGGAGCTTGCAGTGAGCCGAGATCGGGCCACTGCACTCCAGCCTGGGCGGCAGAGCGAGACTCCGTCTCAAAAAAAAAAAAAAAAAAAAAAAACTACAATTTAAATCTTAAAGTTAACTTACATATGAGAACTCCCCAAATGTTTACTGTACTTGTATATAATAATTTTCAATGGCCCCCAATAGCCTCTCCATAGAGATCTGGCCTTTAGGGCAAGTATCCTCCCATCCTTGGTACCCATAATTTGAAGGGCCTCTTTTCAAAGAAAGATACTTAAAGAACAGATAACAAGCAATCCTGGACATCCATATGGCACATCAGAAGAATAAAAGTGTCAGGCCTATACCTTTCAAGCTCTATAAAAGTGACTCATGTTTAGATACAGGATGCTAGTCATACATTGATTTTTGTTTGTTTCGTTTTTTCTTTTATAGAGACAAGGTCTCTCTGTTGCCCAGGCTAGTCTCGAACCCCTCAGCTCAAGTGATAACCCCCGCCTTGGCCTCCCAGAGTACTAGAATTACAGACGTCAGCAATTGCTCCCAGCCTTTTTCTTTTTCTTTTTCTTTTCTTTTTTTTTTTTTTTAAGCATCATGGGTCTTTGAGGCTCTGAAAAAACTCTGGATTGTCTCCCCCAGACAAGTAGACATAGATCCAGGGTCTGCCCTACAACTCCCAAGAATATAAGAATCTGCTTAAGGCACATCTTAAGAGAATACAAGAATCTGAGCCTTCAGATTTTCCTGCATTGGTGATGGAGTGAGTAGATATAGGAAAAGCAGAAATAATCTGTTTCTTTTAACTTGATACTGTCATTACATGTTTACCATTAATCCTGGATCAGTGTTTCCTTTTATTGCTATTGAAATTTGTTCAGAATGTGGTGAAAGGTGTTACCTGCTATAGGTGGTCCAGAAAGGACAGCCATCCCAGCAAAGAAGCTGGCAAGTCCCAAAAACCTGTTTACTGTAGAATTCCTACACAGATCAACCTGTAGGAATTAGAATTCAGTGTTAGCCACATTAAGGGTGAAATTCTATAGAGACTTCTACCTAAAAGGGACAAATACTATTTATATAATCTCAAGCTATGAACAGTGTGACTTCTGGGGTGAGTTGGTTGGCTTTTTGCCCCCAGTATTGTGAAAGAGCTGAGGACTAATAATGAACAGTAACTGCTAGGCAGGCAGTGTTTCAGTTCATTAGTAAGAATACAAGTTTTTATTTTCATTTTAATTTTTTAGGTGGTTCATGGGTACTTTTTCTTCCCCAAACCTTGCTGCTTTTCCCTATTAGGAAATGATATTTACAATATGAATTGATAGTGATATTCTTTTTTTTTTTTTGAGACAGGGTCTCACTCTGTCACCCAGAGTGGAGTGCAGTTGTATGATCTTGGCTCACTGCAACCTTCACCTCCCAGGTTCAAGCGATCCTCCCACCTCAAGGGAGCTACTTCCAAGTAGCTGGGACCACAGGTGCGTGCCACTGCACCTGGCTAATTTTTTTATTTTTCATAGAGACGGGGTTTCACCATGTTGCCCAGGCTGGTCTCCAACTCCTGAGCTCCAGCGATCCACCCGCCTCTGCCTGCCAAAGTGCTGACACAGGTGTGAGCCACCACACCCGGCCAGGTGGTGATATTCTTGAATCCCCTAAGGCTAGGTATCAGCCATTGGTTTGTAAGTAATCAGATAACACAAGGAGTTAATTTCAGCTTTAGGAAGCTTGATTTTTGCCTGAGCTTCGTATAATATCCTGTAGCACTTATGCTAATATTGATAGAACAGAAGTTTTCTAGGAAATCTGTTCCAGCATGTTTAGCACCTGGTTCTAAGGAGAACCCATGAAATTCCCAGGGGTTCCCAGAACACAGAAGTATTTGTAGAAGTATTTTGGTTGCATCTGGGTCAAGGACTTTGAGTCAGTTTAGGGTAAAGGTGGAGAGGAAGTATAAAACAATGGCCCTGTGAAAGTACACAGGACCAAAGCAATAACTTCAAGAGAGAAACCGCACTGGTAAGGAAATCCGTTTTTCTCTGTGTTCCCAGGGATCTCTTCTTTAAGATTATGTCTTAAAAGGAGCCAAACAAGTTTCTGGAACTGAAGGAGAGAAGTGAACACAAGCCTAATCTAGGAGACTGATAAGTAAAAAGGAATCCTGCTGATCCCTTTTTTGCTTTAATTTTATTGCTGTCCCATGTGGATAGTCCTCTCACCATCCCTCCCCCGTCACACACAAGATGAGTAACTGGACAGGATATAGCTGCAGAGTTTCTAAGATGTTTGAAATGATTTTTTTAAGTTATAAAATTAATACAAAATACATATTTTGGGGAGATTGTTACTGATATTTGCTTTTACTGAATGGTTTAACAATGTTAATGAGTGTGTCTACTCACCAGTACAGGCAGTATCAATGCCAGGTAACCACCAGCAAAGATGGCAAAGCAGATGGTGTAGGTCATAAGTAGTGGAAATGTGGTGGCTAAAGGAGCAAGCAGGTTAGTGATGCCGCAGAGGATGAGGTAAGACTTGTGGTAATGATACTTCTTAATCCAGTTTTGATCAGCAACCCATCCAGAAATAATCTGACTGACCGTCTCAAGGATACCTGGAACAATATTGAAATCTTTTTATTTTCCTAGCCCCTTTGAAAAATGTGAATGCATACGGCATCATTTCCCAAGTAATATGACCTCATCCCGAGGCCAGGATATGTGAGGAAAAAAATGATTTCATTTGTGTACCATGAAGCTCTATTATTTACTTACCTATTCCAAATACATTTAATAAAATAGCAAAAAAGTCTCCGCTAGAGTTGTGTAGAAGACCCCCGTAGTTAGGGTTTTTTTCTGATTGTGTCTGGAAAGCTTACATCATCACTACAGTGGGAATCTTTGGTTACAGAGGACCCTGGGCGCAGAAGGCCATGCAGTCCCTTCGTCTAAGAGGTCCTGCAAGTGAGAAAATGAAGTTTCTAAAAGACAAATAGACCTTCAGGTCAGTGTCTTGGGGAAATTGTATTGTAGAAGATTGGAGTATAAATAAGTCTTCTGTTAAAAAAGAGATGTTGGGACTCATAATTGCATATGAAGTTTTAGGAATTAAGTCCTCCAAAGTTTATGCTTAATTTGAAAATATGTAGTAAGTTTGGAAATGGGAGATCGTATTTTGGACCACTGCACCTGACCAAATCCCTATCTTCTAGATCAAGCATTCTGTCTTTAAACAGTTTTATGAGTAGTCAACTAAAATAGTTGCTTTTATTTATTTATTTTCATTTTATTATTATTATTATTTTTGAAACAGTCTTGCTCTGTCGCCCAGGGTGGAGTGCGGTGGCACAATCTCGCCTCACTGCAAGTTCTGCCTCCCGGGTTCGTGCCATTCTCCTGCCTCAGCCTCCCGAGTAGTTGCTACTACAGGTGCCCGCTACCATGCCCAGCTAATTTTTTGTATTTTTAGTAGAGATGGGGTTTCACCATGTTAGCCAGGATGGTCTCAATCTCCTGGCCTCGTGATTCGCCCACCTCAGCCTCCCAAAATGCTGGGATTACAGGCGTGAGCCACTACGCCCGGCCAGTTGTTTTTATTTTTAATTTACATTTTAACTTATTTTAAATATCAGACAATCCATAAGTGACTAGCCTTAAAAGTTGTATTTATCTGTTTTACTATGAGTTCAAGGGAAAAAATCCTTAGCTACAAATAATAAAACATTACTGAATGCTTGCTACAGGCCAGGCACTATTCTAAACTCTACATGCATTGCTTTTTTGATCCTGACAATCTTATGAGGGTAGATACTATTATCCCTGTATTACAGATGAAATGAAGGCACCATGAAGCAAAGTAACTTGCTGAAGTTCCCACAGTTAAGAAATACAGAGCAGGAGGTTGAGCCAGGGAAGTCTTGCTCCAGAACCAATCCTTTGAGCCACTGCACTGTGCTGTCTACCTGGGGTTTTCTGTTCCTTACAATGGCTATTACCACTGAGCATCAGCTTTTTGAAATTTCCACATTTATCTAATAAATAATGTCTACTGTGTCAAACACTGTTATATGAAGACGAGTAAGACTTGTTTTAGTGTCCACTATCTAGTAGGGGAGCCTGTGTGCAGTGACAGAGATCTCTTCCGGGGAAATGCCCAGGTGCTCCATTTAGCCTCAAACATTTTACTTTCTCTGGCCCTTCTACAATTCCTCTTTTGTTTTTCTTTAGCTTTTTGTTAAAATGTAAAAAACTTGTAAAATTAAGTTGATCTTTCCTTTTGGGTAGAAGGCTGACACAGGCTTTCTTACCTGCTACGGAAACGAGGTAAGAGGCATCCATGATGTCAATCCCCAGTGTTTTGGCTCTGGCTACCAGGTGAAAGGTAGGGATGAAGTATGCTAACTGACTGAGGAGAAAAGACCAAGTAAATATGTAGAAGAAAGGATTTCTAAAGAGAGAAATATCAAAGAGTTGTTTGCAGCTCCACGAGATAACCTTATCACTTTCTTCATTACTTTTTAGTAACAGTCTGTTCCTGTTAGGCCCATTGTAGAACTCTTCACTTTGATTTTGTGAGACTATTAAATTTTTGCTAGGTAGTCCAGCCTTCTGCGTAGTACTGTCCTTGATGGTAGACTCTTCTGTCTCATCACAGTGTGTTTCTGTTGCACATGCCTCTGGACCACGTGCAGACAAACTGCTGCCTTTATCTTTAATACCAGAATTCTCAGTTTTGATATGGATGGGTCTTAAGAGCATACTAGAAGGCACCAAATTCAGTGCAATAGCTCCAAATAATATAAGGGCACCTAAATAGGAGGGAGAGATTGAGCAATTAAAAATAGCCTTTCAGTTCACAATATTGCTTTGTGTTCATAGGCTCAGAAGAGGCCCCACTGGCATAGCCCATTAATTCTTGAAAACATTACTTTGTCTCCGATTTGACTTATTAGTCATATACACTGCAGTATCCATGTACTAATGTAGTGCTTTGGAGATAGAGAACCAGAAAGTTGCACCAATAGATGGGATAAAAGGAGAGGTGGTGGTTATTTGTGTTAAGCATTGGGGGGGGCAAGTTTTTGGAGGGAGAGGAGGGTATTTTAAATGCTAAAATATTAAATAGAAAATTTAGGCTGGGCAGTGACTCACGCATCCCAGCACTTTGAGAGGCCGAGACAGGTGGGTCACGAGGTCAGGAGATCGAGACCATCCTGGCTGACATGGTGAAACCCCGTCTCTACTAAAAATACAAAAATTAGCCAGGCGCGGTGGCGGGCGCCTGCAGTCCCAGCTACATGGGAGGCTGAGGCAGGAGAATGGCGTGAACCTGGGAGGCGGAGCTTGCAGTGAGTAGAGATTGCGCTACTGCACTCCAGCCTGGGCAACAGAGCGAGACTCCGTCTCAAAAAAAAGAAAGAAAATTTAAATATCCTGAAGTGAGAGTACAGATTTAGGTACAGAAAAAATAGAATAAGATGAAATAAATCATTTGGAAACAACCTTAGAAGAGGGGACACCTGGCCAGGTGCTATGGCTCATGCCTATAGTCCTAGCATTTTGGGAGGCTGAGGCAGGCAGATCACTTGAGCCCAGGAGTTCAGGACCAGCCTGGGCAACATGGTGAAAACCTGTCTCTACAAAAAATACAAAAAAAATTAGCCTGATGTGGTGATATTTACCTGCAGTCCCAGTTACTTGGGAGGCTAAGGTGGGACGATCACTTAGCCTAGGAGGTGGAGGTTGCAGTGAGCCGATGTTATGCCACAGCACTCCAGCCTGAGTGACAAAGAGAGCCTATCTCAAAGAAAAAAGAAAAAAAAAAAGCAGGGGGAGGAAGGCATGGATAGCCTTTCATCCCATGACATTTTTTAGATCTTCCTTAAAAGATGACAGATGCTAATCTTGCCTTTGAAGCTGAATAGTTGCTTGCATTCAGCATGTCCTGATCAAAGCTATGGCTTGTATGGTGCTTCTAAAGATAGAATAGGCTATAGGTTCTGCTATCCTATCATGGATTTGTCAGCTGGTCCCATTCACCATGAGACTACTGAATAGTTAGGAAAGATTCAACAAAACTGCCATGTAGATAGCAATAGGCATGAATACATACATATACATATATTTTTTCCAGTAGTTTAAGATTATTTTAATCCAAATATCTTAGTTACAAAGAAAATTGTGAGATGAATCATTTTTTATTCATTTGTGAAAATTTATAGTTGACATTGTATAAACTATTAAGGAACATACTCTTTTTACCAAAGTATTTTTCTTTTTCATCTATTTTAGTGAGTCTGATGGAGGAGGCATTTTTTAAATGCGTATTTTTGTCTTAAAGGGAAAATGGGAAAAGTGAGTGTTTTGAGGGAGGAAGGGGGACGCCTTATTTCCCCAGGAGTATCGCTTTTACTGCAAGCTGTTTCCAGCTGCACGGAATGCCCTCCATCTCCTCAGACTTTGAGCCCTATGGTAAATTCTGAGTTGAGTATGAGCTGGCAAAGCCTGCAAGTATTTCAAGATCTCCTCTGCATATGTATTCTCCAGGGAAGAGAAGCATATTTACTTTAGAAATTATGCTCATTTCCTCTCTTGCAATACCTTGTGAAATCGATTGCTCTAAAAGTCTTAACTTCCAGTTCTCAAAGGGAGAAAGCTGAATGCTAAATCTTGCACAGTTGATAGTAAAGAAACTTAGAACGACTTACCTGTCCAGTCATACAGATCTATAAGGAATTTTGTAAAGGGTGCCAACAGAAAAGTCAGTCCCATCCCAGAACGGGCAATAGCTGTAGAAAGAGCCAATCGTTTTTTGAAGTATTTGGTAGTTACCACAGCAGCTACTTGGTATAAGAAAGCAGAACCCAAACCTAAAAGAAAAACATAATAGTTTAGAATCACTCTCACATTAAGTGGCTTGGTGCCAGAAAAGATAATTTCCTGGATCCAAGATAATAGGCCTTTTGGACCCAGGAACAGTAGAAGGGAAGGGTCCTGTTCCATCTTCTATGGATAGATGCATATATATATATATATATATACACACACAGACACACACACACATATACATACACACATACATATTTTTGAGACAGGGTCTCACTTTGTCACCCAGACTGAAGTGCAGTGGCACAGGCTCGGCTCACTACAGTCTCAACTTCCTGGGCTCAAGCAATCCTCCTGCCTCAGCCTCCCAAATAGCTGGGACTACAGACATGTGCCACCACTGGCCTGGCTAATTTTTGTATTTTTAGTAGAGACAGGGTTTCACCACGTTGCCCAGGCTGGTCTGGAACTTCTGGACTCAAGCGATCCACCCGCTTTGGCCTCCCAAAGTGCTAGGATTACAAGTGTGAGCCACCACTCCCATCCTTCTATGGTCACATAATTACAAGGAACTCACCAGGTAGAAGTCCCATAGTCACACAAAGAAAAGGAATACTTGTGGCCCAGCTGCTGATCAGATATCCACCAGTAACAAGGAAAGCCCCAAGAATGGAGGTAGTTTTCTCTCCAAGTATGTCACAAATAATAGCAACCAGGGGACCTTAAGAGAAGAAAGAAAGGCAATTCTTAGGTAAATATGATCTGGCATTTCTTATCCTCTGATGGCAATTTAAATGAATGACAAGGAAAGCAAGAGGACTGTTTACTTTGAAGTATTACGTATTCTTCAAAAAATATTTTCATATTGGGTTTTTTAATATCACTAGTCTCACACTATTTTAGTTTTTGGAAGGGGAGTTTAAAAGAAAATGTTTATTGCAAATAAGGTTTGGAGGGGAGGTGTTTTGAAATTCATTATAGAACCTCCACGAAAAGATTGCATATAGTGGTCAATGACTAGAATAAGGTTGAATCACTTATCTGCTCTTCCATCCTGTTACAGCTCCAAATAAAAGAGGAGAAATTGGTTCTATAATTTGTTTTGAGGCTGGACACCGTGGCTCTTTAATCTCATACTTTGGGAGGCCAAGGTGGGCAGATCACCTGAGGTCTGGAGTTTGAGACCAGCCTGGCCAACATGGTGAAACCCCATCTCTACTAAAAATACAAAAATTAGCCAGGCATGGTGGCGGGCGCCTGTAATCCCAGCTACGTGGGAGGCTGAGGCAGGAGAATCGCTTGAACCTGGGAGATGGAGGTTGCAGTGAGCCAAGATTACACCACTGCACTCCAGCCTGGGCAACAGAGTGAGAGTCTGTCTCAAAAAAATAAATAAATAAATATAATTGTTCTGAGTATACTTAGATAACTAGAACTTCATGGCCTAACTTCCAGGTTGAGGGCCTTACTCACTGAACCCATATTAAGGCATTAACAGACTGGAAAGGCAATGCATGAAATACTGAATCATGGCATTTAATAATTCTTCATCTTTCTTTCTTTGAATGCTGATTCTCCCAACTTTGTTACTAAGTCAAGTGGAAGCTAAATATTGCAATTCCTTACTTTCTTAGTGTTACATAATGAACCTGAATTTTAGCAATGCTTCAGTCTGGAATAGGAATCTTGGAATTGCCCTTTGTGGTTTTTCTCTTTGGACAGCAAGCTTATTGCCAGCCTTATACCTGCACAAAAACGAAGAGATGACATGATGGATCCAATCCAACCAGTTTGCTCTGAGGTGCCTTCAAACTCTTCTTGAAAGACCACAAAGAAAATTGCAAAAGTCTTGGTCATCCCCATCACAAACACATTCACCTAAATCAAAGCAGACCAGAGTCCAACTCAGGTGGTAAGTCAGCCATTACAGAGGCAATTACGGCTACTAGAAGTTATGATTCCCTTAACCTACAACTATTTACCAGTTTGCCTTATTGGTTGAGCCTCATTATACATCTTATATTTTATGGGGGAAGTCATTACTTTTAAAGTAGCTAAGCATTTTAAATAGAAACATCTCATTTAATCCTCATTTCATGGCTTTGGAATAGGCATGCCAGTGTTGTATACCAAATAATTTATACCAAATAAACCATCCAATGGGTTCACCTTGCCTGCTGCCTAGATACAGCTGATTTATCAAGACGGGAATTGCAGTAGAGAAAGAGTTATTCCCACAGCGCCCATTGTGCAGGAGACTGGAGTTTATTATGCCAGTCAGTTTCCCTGAGGTTTTGGGGATCAGAGTTTTTAAGGATAATTTGGTGGGTGGGAGGCCAGTGAGTTGGGAGTGCTGATTGGTTGGGTCAGAGATGAAACAAAGCTGCCCTTTTGTGCCTAGTCACTTCTGGATGGAAGGGCAGGGGCAGGGGCAGGGGCAGGGGCGGGGGGACCCATGATCAGATAAACCAGTTTATTAATCTGGGTGGTGCCAGCTGATCCATCAAGTGCAGGGTCTGCAAATTATCTCAAGCACTGATCTTAGGTTTCACAATAGTGATGTTATCCCCCGAGCAATTTGGGGAGGGTCTGTCTTGTAGCCTCCAGCTTATGATTCCTAAACCATAATTTCTAATCTTATGGCTAATTTTTAATCCTACAAAGACAATCTAGTCCCCAGGCAGAAAGGAGGTGGTTTTTTTTGTTTGTTTTGTTTTGTGTTTTTTTTTTGTTTTTTTTTGGAAAGGGCTGTTAGTTTCTCTTTCAAAATTAAGCTATCAACTAAGTTTCCCCCAAAGTTAGTTCAGCCTACACATGGGAATTAACAAGGACAGCTTGGAAGTTAGAAGCAAGATGGAGTTGGTTAGGTCAGATCTCTGTCTCCGTAATAATTTTCTCAGTTATAATTTTGCGACAGCAGTTCCAAGATCAGGAAAATGAAGTTTAGAGAGGTAAAAAGTTGCTTAAAATAGGGGTACTGGAACTGAGATTTGAACCCAGATTAGACTGACTCTAGATCCGGTATTCCTCTACTGCCCTCAGTAGCATCTGTTAAAGACAGCTAATTTCAGTTACCTTTGTGGGAGAAAAGTGTTTGTCCATAAGAGGAATAATTATTCCTGTCAGTTCTTAGATTAGTTTTGATTTAACTCTGCTGCTGAGCTGAGTACCTTCCTTCACTTGATATATAAATAGGTTGACCATATAATGTATCATCCAAATTGAGACACTCAAGAGTGAAAAGGGGTGCTTAATTTTGGATTAACTGGGATGTATGGTCACCTTAAGGTTGGGCCAGGTGCCCCATCCTTTTCTTTCTGCCCCACCTAATCTTCCTTACCTGCACTCCACTAGAATTGCTGCTTTGGAGATGAGGTTTTCTTTCTGTGGAGTATTAACTTTTATTTCTCAGAATTCTAGTTAGCCAGGGGGCTGTTAAGTGCTATTCTTTCTTTCCCTTTTTGAGTAACAGTCATACTTGATCCCACAGGGGTCTAGAGGGGAAACCTAGCCAGGGTTTGCACATTCACTCTCAAAGCCCAGGAGCCATGTGTACTCTCTATCTCCAGGGGCTTCCTGGCTTCCCCTTTTCCTTTCCTTGTTTCAGTAGCACTGGCTTTTCAAGGCCACCTCTGCTTTCAACCTGGCCGTGCATTGCTTATGAACCACAAAACCAGCTGGGCATGGAGGCTCCTGCCTATAATCCTAGTACTTTGGGAGGCCAAAGTGGGTGGATCGCTTGAGCCCAGCAGTTCAAGACCAGCCTGGGCAACATGGCAAAACCCTGTCTCTACAAAAAGTACAAAAAATTAGCTGGGCGTAGTGGTATAACACCTGTAGTCCCAGCTACCTGGGAGGGTGAGGTAGGAGGATCGCCTGAACCTGGGAGGTCAAGGGTACAGTGAGCTGTGATCACACTATCTGCACTCCAGCCTGGGTGACAGTGAGACCTTGTCTCAAAATTAATAATAATAAAAGAACCACAAAGCCTTAGGTTCCCTTTCATTAATGCCACTTTCTCAGCCCATCTGTTACAGTTCTGTACTCATCTCGCTTAATACCTGTTCCCTGGACAATCATTCACTCTCAAGGTTTTAATTACCACCTGCATACTTATGGTGGTGTAGCTGAATAGGGTTCTGCAATCAGTCTGCCTTAACTTGCATCCAGGCTGTGCTTCCTACTGGGGCGTGACCTTGGGCAAACTACTTCGCACATCACAGGGGTTAAGCTTCCTCTTTTATGATGGAGGGGCGGCGGTGGGGGATGAAAATGTTACCTAGCTCATAAGACTGTGAAGAGTAATTGAGAAAATTCTGATACAGTACTTAATATTTGGCACTTAACACTCAAAACAATTAACTGTGGTTTCCATTCTGCTTTCCCGAGAGCTTTAAATTCCTCTAATTGTCTACCATATCTTTATAACTTCTAGTCAACTTGTCCAAACATAAACTCACATTTCCCTTATCCTATGCCTACTCTTTTCAGTTTTTTCTATTGGTACCATTCACTCATTCATTTGAATGAGAGACATGCTTTCTCTTAGATACCTCCCTCCCTCAGCCCCTGCTTTTAAATAATCGTCAAGACCTGCCCCCTTCTTTTCACCCCATCACTATTGGCGATGCTCAGAAATTGCAACACTGGTAGTGGTGAGGAAGAAGTCTCTTAATATACTTTTCCCCTTTCTGATTTGATAAAAGGAACAAACTTATTTAGAATGAACAGTGCTATAAACGCCAGGACTATATATTCAAAAGTTAAAAAGACATTTTATCAGGCCTCCATTTAGGCAATTTATAACCATAATTTTCCTCTAAGGCACTTCTGTCAGGCTAGAAATTAGGCTAGAAAATATACACAGATCTCAAATGACTTGGACTTTCTTCTGTCAGTTCATAATAATGTGGTGATTGTGTCCTTTCATGAGCAAGGAGTACTAAAATGCATCATTCTGTAAAATAAACTTCCTTTTGTTCTGTGCTGGTATCTAGAGGATGTTGACCTCTATATTCTTAGCTACCTAAATTTAGCTAGCTCCTGGTCCCCCAGTTCAGAGCTTTTTGTCTCTGATTTGTCCTTGATGTCTGGGTGTAGCAGCAGTGAATGGTTAGGACTTGTCTCTAATAACTGGGTCCGTGTCCACTGTGTATCAAGAAGACCAAGGGCAGAGCCTTTGCACCTACCATGCTTACTGTCCCTTAACTTGAAGTCTTCCAACTTTGTTTGAGTTTTGACTCAAAGATATTAAAACTCTCTCCCAAGGTGTAGGTTTTTTCTTAGTTAATTTAGCAGACTACATAAATCTGCATTGTTCTACATAATCCCATGTCTTAGACCAAGCTTGGTAGGTTTCAGTTCTGTTACCAGAGTCCACATCATACATGGTAAATGACTCACTCCAAAATAAAGCAAAAACCCTAGAACTTCTCTAGTCCCCTCATTTTCTTTTTGTCTTTAAGAGCAGTTAATTGGGTTGAATCTGGCAGGAACACCTTAAGCAGGCCTTCCCCCACACCCCACCTCCAGTAAGAGTTTCCTCACTAGATCATTTTAATTATTGTCTTGGGAAAGGAGTTGGATCAGCCTCAGTGACTTATTTTCAATACAGGGACCAGGCTTTGTCAGAGTTAGTTTTATCTAATAACAACTTCTTATCCTGCATCCCTTTCTAGTATCACCATAGCTCCTCCTGACCTTCACAGACAAGTTTCTGTAAAAAATACTCTATTAGGTATCTCAGCTTTCTGTCATTCTGCTACTCCACTGAAAACTAAAGGTCACTACCTTTGGCCCCCACTGCTCCACTGTACTAGCTCTTATCAAGGTTATGGGACTTTTTTGTTGCTAAACCAATAGACTCTTATTATTTCTCTCCTATTTGACCTCTCAGTAGCATCTGCTTATCACATTTCTCTGAAATGCAAATCTATGACATCCCTGCTTAATTTTTCTCATTAGCTTCTCATAGCCTCAAAAGCCATTCTCATCTCTTCAGTTTCATCAACTATCCCCTTCATCCTTATTTGTTTATTCATAAATGTGTGCAGCTATCAATTCACCCATCTATCCATCCACCAACAGTATTTACTGAGTGCCTACTACGTTCCAGGCTGTATACTGGCACTGGGCTTACAGTAATGAGCGTATACTCATGAGCAATGCAGACGAAGGCCCTGCCCCCACAGAACATTCAGTCTAGTAAGACAGACTGAATACAGAAAACAGTCATACAAATATATAAAGTGTGGCAAGTTGATTAGAATGAATCTCTCTCTTTTTTTTAAGTAGGAAGCTCCCAAAGAACATTGTTATTTTTCACTTACCAGGAGCTCCTCTGTTATAGAAAAGAACACTTGTAAGTCATACAGAAACAAAAGCACAGTCATTCAAGTGTGCACATTACAACTGTGGGGGATTAGCCTCTGAATTTATTGTTAACATTTTGAGGATCCAGTGCATTTTTTGTGCTTAGTAAGCAGTATCACACCCTAAAAGTGGTACAGTGTTTATTAATCTGGTTATTAGATGGTTTTTCTTACGAGCAACTGAATTGGTCAAAAACCATTCTATCCTCAGAGGATAATGTAGAAAAAGTCAGGGTGGTTACTGGGGAGAAAGGCAGGAGAATTAGAGATCCTCACCAACAGTGCCCATTCTGCAAAACCTATGATTTAGGGAGGTGGCCCAGCCACAGGAAGGGCTCTCAGACTTAGGGCATCCTTTAGTTTCCCTATTAGTAACATTTCTGGGAGGAAAATGAGATTCCACATTCTTCAGTACTGAAGCTAATGTTTAGCAAGTACTACCATTATGTGTTAGGAGTTTTGTATTACATAAATCCTGGCTGGGGACCTCTGCCCCTAACTTCTGTAGCACTAGGGAGGAGGCCTGATGTTTTCCCACCATCCTATTTGTAGAGTTCTTAGTTATCTGCATGTGAACTATAGGATTATTAGAAGGCACCAGGACTTGTGCTACCCTTCCCTGTGAGCTGCTTACTGTAGGGCTGAGTAGGGGAGAAGTGTCGGCAAGAAGGGTATTTTTTTGAGTGCATGTGCCGCTGGTGCTGCTCTCTGGAGAGCTGTGTGGGGCATAGCTGGGATTCACCGACATTCTGGAATGGGCATGCTGATGATGCAGATCACCACTGTCACACCTCAACCCCTGGGAGGGTGAGGGAAAGAAGTTAATTTAAAAAATGGAATGCCTAGTCTAGTTGCTTATGGGTGAAGGAGAAAAATCAGGCTCCCCCTTCAAAATCCGTGTCCTCTCTTTCCAAACACATTGGAAATATAGATAGCATAAACTATAGTTAGTGGGGATGGATTGGGAAGTAGACAGCAGGCCAGAGGAAACGTCCCCACCCCTTATCAGTGGAGGGGGCTGTGCCAGCAGTGCTCTATCTATGCTGGGCTGAACTGGGGAGACCACCCCCAGAGCACTTTTTAGCACCTCTCAGTGCTACTTTTGGGATGGTTAAAAGTATGATTGTCCCCAAACCCTAATTGCCATGCAGCCAGTACAGAACTGCTGATTGTGACTGAACATTCTCAGGTTTAAGAGGTGGTAGACAGGAAGATTAGAGGACTGGATTTCTGTTTGTTTGTTTTGAGAGAGTCTCTCATGGTTGCCTAGGCCACAATGCAGTGGCAGGATCTTGGCTCACTTCAGTCTCCGCCTCCTGAGTTCAAGCAATTCTCCTGCCTCAGCCTCCCAAGTAGCTGGGACTACAGGTGCACGCCACTGCACTCAGCTAATTTTTGTAGAGATGGGATTTCACCATGCTAGCCAGGCTGGTCTCGAACTCCTGACTTCAAGTGATCCGCCCACCTAGGCCTCCCAAAGTGCTAGAATTATAGGCGTGAACCCCCACACCCAGCCCAGGAACATTTCTGCTTTCGCTCCAGGGGTATTTTCAGCTTTCTCCTAGGTTGGGCATGGGCCTCTGACTTTAGCAGTTTTTGGCAGCTCCTGGCCTTGTTCCTGCCCACCCCTCCAGTCAGGTGCCAAAGATTTCCTAAGTGATCTTATTTGTAGGCAGCCCTGAGCCTTTCTCCAGAAAGCCTGCTTTCAGGCAATAGGAAAGGGGGAAAAAAGCGAAATCTTACCAGGAAAAAATGAACCACAATCATCCATCCCCATCCTCCATCCGGGGTTTCAGTGTAAGGTCGGGCCTTCCCCTCCCTCTTCAGCATGATGCCTCTTCTATTTTAAATGCAGAAGATCCCTGTGATAAATCCAAGACAGTTGATTCAGTGGACCAGAAACTAAACTTTTAAACTTTTTATCTGAAAGGGAATGTTCATACATTGTTGGTGGGAATACAAATTAGTTCAGCCACTGTGCAAAGCAGTTTGGAGATTTCTGAAAGAACTAAAAATTGAACTACCATTTGACCCAGTAATCCCATTCCTGGGTATATACCCAAAAGAAGATAAATTGCTCTACCAAAAAGCCACATGCACTTTTATGTTCACTGCAGCATTATTCACAGTAACAAAGACATGGAATCAACCTATGTGCTCATCAAGAGTGGGTTGGATAAAGAAAATGTGACACATAGACACCATGGAATACTACACAGCCATAAAAAAGAACAAAATCATATCCTTTACAGCAATATGGATGCAGCTGGAAACCATTATCTTGAGCAAACTGATGCAGAAACAACCAAATACTGCATGTTCTCACTTATAAGTGGGAGCTAAACATTGGGTACATATGGATGTAAAGATGGGAACCACAGTCACTGGGGACTACAAGATAGGGAGGGAGGAGGGTTGAAAAACTCCCTATTGGGTGCTATGCTCTCTACCTGGGTGACGGGTTCAATTATACTCCAAATCTCAGCATCACACAATATACCTCTGTAGCAAACCTACACATGTACCCCCTGAATCTAAAATAAAAGTTGGAATTTAAAACAAAACAGCAAAAAAACCTTTTTTCCTCTGATATAAAACCACTTGTAATTTTTCTGAAGCCCCTCAGTTACAGATGAAGTCTGCCTGATGCAACTAAGGACTTAGTTAGCTGGAAAGCCTGACCTCAGTGACTGTGGGGTGGCCAATCTGAAAACTGTACTCAGTGTCCCTCGCCCCAGGTCTGCAAGCCAGTTTCTTGGGGAAGCTGTACATCACCCTGCTGGTCCTCTGGGTGAACTCTTGACTTAAGAGATAGAAAGGGAAGGGAAGCCTTGAGTTTAGGAATTCTCCTTAGAAAACACTTGCTAAATGTAAATATTTTTGGAGCTAAACAGACGTGACAACGAAATGCGATACCCGCTCATTGAATATATCCTAGATCAGAAAAAAAGTTGTAAAAGACAGTTTGTGGGGACAATTGGGGAAACTTGAATATGGACTGTATAATACAGAATACCAAGGTTAACCTCTTGGATATGATGGTGATCTTGTGGTTCCACAAGAGAATATTCTTAGGAGATACATGCTAAAGTATTCAGGAGTAACATGACACTGTGCTACCTTTTCACAATCGGTTCTGTAAAACAAACAAGTATATATAAAGAATGATAGCAAAAAGAAAATGTAAATGTTCTGAGGAAGGGGAACAGTACTCATTATTTTCCCTGTTGGGTTGAAGGCTGACTGTTTCTAACTGAAAAGGAAAGTCAGCTGGCAGGGTGTGCAGAATGGCCATCTGGTGAGCAGGCTGGGTGGGGAGAGATGCCAGTCATCGAAGACGTCGTAGAAAACCAACCCAGCACACAGTCCCATTCCCATCTTACCTTTGATGTGGTGTTCAGCAAAGAAATCCTCCACAGATCGGGCAATTAAGGAAGAAAAATAAATTACACCATTTTCTGGAATGTTACTCTTTTTCTAAGGCATTTCATTTTACTGCACTGTGAAAACAAGCGAGCATTGTAAGAGCCAAGGAGGGCTCAGACGATTTAGGCCCTCCTGCTAGTGGACTTTACTTCCTGAGGGGAGGAGGAAGAACTGTGATTTGATGTCATCTCAGGCCCTCCCTCCACCCACAGTCGCTCAGAAGGTAGAATTTTTTGCCGCAGGCTCAAAAGCAAGCAGAGTAAACTAAGTGGAAAGTCCTTTTGGCGACTATGCTCAGGGCAGGGGGATGGGGCTCCAGAGCTCTCATACACTTGTCTTCAAAGTTCCTCAGGGAACTTCTCATGACATGCCTATTTTACAGGAGAATATAAAACTGGATGGGTGGCGAGAGAGGCATTTCCTGGGCCACAAACAGTAATCTTCAGTAAGCTCAACCCATTCGTGTGGCCTTTTGTATATTGACTAAAGATTCTGCTTACTAATTTGGGGTTTCAGACCCCATTTTAATTGCATTTTTGAGACCTGATTACCTCAACCACCTCCTGCAAAAGATGTATGTTCGTAGTAACTTTAACGAGATGGTTTTTTATTTTGGAAATGGTTAGGGCTGAGACTCCTAGAAAATTACTGGGATAATTCAACTTTCTCTTCCCATTTCCTCCCTCTACTCTACCCTCCACATAAAACGAAACAAAACAAACAAATCAAATGGGAAATTGTCTTTTGTCTCCCACACCAATATTCCAGATTTTAAACCAGAGTATATTTTAGATGAAAGGATGTGTTTTTAGTTTTATCTGGAAAATCTGCACATATTTATGCATGCTCCTTTTTAAAAAGCAAGAGGCTTCTCAGGTTCTTAAAATCAAACCCTATAACACTTTTTGATTAAAGTGCTTGCAGAAGGACAGCTTAGTTGTTTGGGAGGGTGTCCTGTAAGTGTAACCATGGAAGGATTATGCGGTTACATGATGCTGGTGGCAGGGATCAAATAAACATTCAGCAGAAGGAGAAAACCAGAAGAGAGAAGGCAAATGCTTTCCAGAGAGCTGTTTGTAATTATGAATACACTCTAGACTATATATATATATATATATATATTTTTTTTTTTTTTTTTTGAGACAGAGTCTCACTCTGTTGCCCAGGCTGAAGTGCAGTGGTGCAATTTCGGCTCACTGCAACCTCTGCCTCCCGTGTTCAAGCGATTCTCCTGCCTCAGTCTCCCAAGTAGCTGGGACTACAGGTGCACACCACCACGCCCGGCTAATTTTTTGTATTTTAGTAGAGATGGGGTTTCACCGTGTTGCCCAGGCTGGTCTTGAACTCCTGAGCTCAGGCAATCTGCCTGCCTTAGCCTCCCAAAGTGCTAGGATTACAGACATAAGCCACTGTGGCTGGCCTGAAAACATTTTTTAGTAAACAAGACTGATTTATTTATTTATTTATTTGGTGGCCCGCTTGTTGCTCTTTTAAAGCAGGGCTATCTATGATTTCTTTTTTTATTGAGACAGGGTCTGCTGTATTGCCCAGGCTGGAGTGCAGTGGCATAATCATGGCTTACTGCAGCCTTGACCTCCCCAGTTCAAGCAATCCTCCCACCTCAGCCTCCTGAGTAGCTGGGACTACAGGCATGCGCCACCATGCTCAGCTAATTAAAATTTTTTGTTGTTGTTGTAGAGATGGGGGTTTCATCATTTTACCCAGGCTGTTTGCGATCTCCTGGGCTCAAGCGATCCTCCCATCTTGACCTCCCAAAGTATTGGGATTACAGGTTTAGCCACCATAATGGACCAGCTACCTATAATTCTAATCACAGGATGAAATGAGGCAAGACTTTATATATATTTTTCTCACACACACAGAGGAATATATATACACATACATATATACATATAGGAATATGTACACATACAAGAATATATACACATATAGACGAACACAAATATGTGTGTGTGTGTGTATATATAGAGAACTCCGATGCTAATGCCTGGGGTCAGATTTGAAATGCAGCAGAACAGGAAGTCATTCATAGAGGCCAAGAGGGCAGCAAAGTAATCAGAGAGTAACTCCTTCAAATCAGAGAATAACTCCTTCAAACATATGTTTCATGAAGGCGCATTAACAGAAATCTGCAGGCTTGGTGATAATCTCAATTTTGTCATTTTTTAAGCCCGTAGACTCTTTGAGTCTGTTTCTAAAACTCTAAAGTGTATCTAATATTTTGCAAGGTTGTTGTGAGGATTAACAATATATCATGTAAGATGACTACACATTGGACCTACTATTGGTACTTGGTTCATGAAAAATAATTTTCGTTAGTCAAATGAGGCCTAATAGCAAGAACAAAGAATTCTTAAGCCACCTTTGGGATATTAGTTAACATTTTGGCAGCTGTACCTGATTGACTTAATAAAGCTTATAGGGTCTTTAAGGAAACATAAACAATTCCCTTAACTTCTAACCTTTTAACTCTTGGCCCTAAAGCTATTCAGCAAGAATGCAGCATGATTTTGCAATCATCACCCAAGGTAATCATCATGATTACTCTCATCCCACTGTCAAATATAGCCAGCCCAGGAATAATCTTTAACACTTTTGGATTTAGACTTTAATAAGCATTACCAACTAGAATTAAGATATTTTATTTTTAGTTGACTCTCTCCTTGCCCTCATTCAATTCTTGTGCAGGAAAGAGTTACTGGCAAGAGATTCCTATTCTTTGAAACATCACTGGCCTGAGATTCCTATTCTTTGAAAGGCCTGTTTACATGGTTGGCCTCTGGCTGGCAACTGGGAACTTAGATTTCAGGGGGTTTCCTACCATTCCTTAAATGATAATAGTGAATCATTGTGCCTAAAGTATGTAAACAATACAATTTTTATGCTGAACGTTTGCTTTCTTTTTGGGAGCCTGGAATTTTGATATGTGCTAGGCAGAGGGTTCTTACGTGACCAGCCCCCTTGGGCACTGAGTCTCTACTAAGCTTTCTGGATTTGCAACCTTTCACACATGTTACAACTCATTGCTGGAGGAATTAACTGCATCCTGTGTATCTTCACTGATAGAATAATTCTTGCAAGCTTCTGCCTGGTTTCTTCTGGACTTTGCCCCATCCTCCTTTTGCCTTTGTTGAGTCAGCTTTGTATCCTTTCACTTTAATAAACCATGTAAGTACAACAACTACGTGCTCGGTCCTGTGAGTCATCCTAGTGAATTATCAAACCTGAGTGGTTGAATGAGTCTGGGTTATTGAGAAAGAATAGAATATTCTCCAGAGCAAGAACCAGTGATGGGGAGGAGACATTGAGGTTGATTTACTATAAGAATTGACTCACATGATTATGGAGACTGAAAAGCCTGCACTGTGGTCAGCAAGCGGGACAATCAAGAGAGTTGATGGTGTAGTTCCAGTCTGAGTCCAGAAGCCTGAAAACCAGAAGTGCTGATGGTGTAAGCTTTAGTCTGAGAGGGCCTGAGAACCAGGAGAGCCATTTGTGTAAGTTCCATTCTGAGTCTGAGTCCAAAGTCAGGAGAAGACCGATGTCCCGACTCCAGGAGAGTCAGGCAATGAGAAATTATTTGTTAGCCTTTTATTCTAGTCAGGCCTTTAATGGATTGCATGAGTTCCGCCCACATTGGGGAGGGCAGTCTTCTTCAGTCTACTGATTCAAATGCTGATCTCATCCAGAAACACCTTCACAGTTGCACCCCAAAATAATGTTTAGCCAAATACCTGAGCATCCCATAGCCCAGCCAAGCTGACACATAAAATTAACTGTTATAGAAGTGTCCTGGGACTCCCTCATACAAGCATACTTCAGTTTTGGCTCTGTACAGACTAGAAAATAAGCCTTCTCCAGCCTCAAGCTCTTTCCAGCGTGTCTTATGTTTCATTGATAAATTGGATACATTATATCCTACCTCAAAGGGTGCTGTGAAGAATAAATGAGAATGTATGTTCATTTATTTCATTCAATAAAAACAGTTGCTTTCTATGTGCCAGATGTTGTGCCAGACAGAGGGGGCTATATAGTGCACACAGGCTGGCATGAGATGTGGCCCAAGGGGTTAGCAGGGGCTAAATCATGCAGGGGTTGGGAGGTCATGGTTAAAACTTCTTTAATTAATTTTTTTTTTTTTGAGACAGGGTCTCGCTCAGTCACAGCCCAGGCTGGAGTGCAATGGCACAATCTCATCTCACTGCAGCCTCTGCCTCCTGGATTCAAGTGATTCTTGTGCCTCATCCTCCTGAGTAGCTGGGATTATGTGCACCACCACACCCGGCTAATTTTTTTTTTTGGATTTTTAGTAGAGATGGGGTTTCACCATGTTGGCCAGGCTGGTTTCGAACTCCTGACCTCAAGTTATCTGCCCATCTCGGCTTTCCAGAGTGCTAAGATTACAGGCATGAACCACTGTGCCCAGCCATAACTTTTTAATTCTAAATGCAATGGAAGGCTGTTCATAGTGGCTCACACCTATAATCCCGGCACTTTGAGAGGCCAAAGTGGGTGAATCAGTTGAGGCCAGGAGTTTGAAACCAACCTGGCCAACATGGTGAAACCCTGTCTCTATGCAAAAATTAGCCAGGTGTTGTGGTGCATGCCTGTAATCCCAGCTACTCGGGAGACTGAGGCACAAGAATCACTTGAACCCGGGAGGCAGAGGTTGCAGTGAACTGAGATTGTGCCACTGCACTCCAGCCTGGGTGACAGAGCGAGACTGTCTCAAAAAAAAAAACAAAAAAAAAAAGACAAAGCTTGTGCCCTCAAAGTGTGTATACTAGTGGGGAAGTCAGACATAAAACAACATGTATGTCAGTTATTAATAAGTATGGTGAAGACCACACATATATATCCCATCTATTAAAGTACAAGCTCAAAGACTGGAGCTATGTCTTACTAAAATGTTTGCTGTTCTCACATAGCACCTTATATTTGTAGATGCTTAATATTTTTGGATAAATAATATTCTGGAGGTTTTTACACTGTCAAATGTTAAATTGCTAGAGCAACAGAACTACATTCAAGTTCAACAAATCCGTCTTTTGTGCCTGCTTGTGCACAATTCCGTTGTTGAAAACTATAAAGGTTGAAGCGAACTTTTTTTTTTTTTTTGAGATAGTGGCTTGCTCTGTTACCCAGGCTAGGGTGCAGTGGCACATCATCAACGTCAACCTTCTAGGCTCAAGTGACCCTCCTGCCTCAGCCTCCCGAGTAGCTTGGACTACAGGCCCATGCCACCATGCCTGGTTAATTAAAAAGAGCTTTTTTTGTAGAGATGGGGTCACAGTATGTTGCCCAGGCTGGTCTTGGCTTAAGCCATCTCCTGCCTTGACCTCTCAAAGTGCTGGAATTACAGGTATGAGTCACTGTACTCAGCTAGACCTATACTTTTCAAATGTAAAAATTTATTTTCTAGCCAACATGTCCTATTTGGTGGTCTGGATGTTAAAGAGTACAGACTCAGCTGGGC